AATGACTGTGAAAGTGTACCCCATTTCACCCATCTCCAAGTAGGTGCTTGAAGTTTCATTTTACATGAAACTTCGATTTTAAACGGGTGCTTCAGGTTTTTCAATTTCTGAACAAAGTTCACGTATTGACCAAATTTTTACAACAGCATCTCATTAAAAATACTTAGAGAAGCCCTTTTGACTCTATAAATATTCATGTGCGATTCTTGGAACATGTATTTTTGGCGATTATGCCAATCATGGACTCTAACTTTCAGCGAAACTTGAACTTCTGTCTCTTATACACATCTAATCACGGCAAAACCAATGAAGCAATTTAGATTTCTGGAGAAATGAGTACTCCTTAGAGCTCAACTTTGAACAGCTGATACAAATGAGATCTTCACATCGTTCACAGGTAACTATAGTCAAGGGCTAAAGGCCCTTGACTATACATTTCAAGGTAAGCCCATTAATAACAGACCAGTTGATAAATCGACCGCTGGGAGTACTCAAGACGGTAAGTGTAATATGTTGGTAGATAAATACAAATCGACTGATGTATTCCTGTTTTGGATGGTAACTTGTGGAGATCAATAGGAGTACGTGGCCAGTGTTTTTATTTTGCACAAAATTTAGACGGATGAGACGAGTAAACTTCTGATTGCGCAATATTTCAAGTAAATCAAGTTCCTGCAATGGAACAAAATGATAACAATTTGAAAAACAATGAGAATATGTGAGGTGTAATTGAGTTGCTGACCTTTTGGTTTAACTACTGATGTAACTACCACTAGAAGAATGATTCAGAAGTGCATGTATAGCAATCAATGAAGAAGCAACTATAGTATCGTGAAAATGTTGAAAAAATTGCGCGTTTTACGGTCCTCATGGGTCAAAAATTTCGTTCGCGATAAAAGTGGTAATACAAAATTCAAATAATTAATCTTATTTCCGGTGAAATAAAAATAATTAGCCAGAATAGCATTCCAAATTTCAGACTTGCATCTTATTTAGGAGACGCCATAGGCGACTACCGCGACTGACTGTACTGATGTTTGTTCATAATAAGCTTGAAAATATTTTATCCAGCTTATTGATAACAAATTTGCCACTCAGCCCTCATGTTTTGATTAAGTCTTTGAAATTTTTTAGACCACAAATCACTATCGAATCTGAGGTTCTCCCTGATCATTTCAAGTGAAGGTATTCATCCAGAATTTTAAGCTTAGGTGGAGTAAGTCATAGGGCAGTTGAGTTGTGAAAAAAATATTATGTTTTTTTTCTTCAAAAATTCACGCTATCGCAAGAATTGCACAATTTTAGCATAAATGTACAGTTGAGACTCGTATATAATCTTTTAGGCGAGACATAATACACAAGTGATTATTCGTTTAATTATTTGTCAGCAATTTGAGAACGTTTATTTTATAATATCAAATAGTAGGCTTCAAGATTTGTTGTTGAATTTTGTTTCGCGTATCGCAAGGCACTGACGATGATGCGATTATAAGTTGCAAGGCATATCTCATGCGATAGAAAGTAAGTCCTTCAACAGGTGTACTCGTGTTTATAGACGGAGACGATGAGATTGGCCTTATCAGATAGTGAGAGCAGTCAATAGTGGCGGCGTTAGAGCACGTATAACGTCTCAGTGTTCTTGCGCTTTCCCAGTCACAGCCGCTATGAGGTCTTCAGCTGCGCTAGAAATTTTCGCATTGTTTTTGAGTTACCTGACTCTCGTCACTAGAGGTGAGTAACGACGACTGTACCCTGAATTATTACTGTTGGATCTTTTACATTCTGTACAATTAGGCTCTGTATACTAATTTATGTATCACTTAGATGTTTTCTTCGTGAACGAAAATGATGGTACTCATTTTTTCATTGTTGGGTTTTTGGTTCTAGATTCTAGTAATTTGACATCCGTATTAAGAGGATGCAGACCTATGCTGGATCATGACTCAAATACAATTTTACGAATCACTTTGAATTAATTATAATTAGCTGGGTGACCAGCGCAACGTTGCCATCAACAAATATCCAGCGAAAACATCAAGGCTCCGTATTCAGGGAGAAAACCTAGCTATAATATCGCTGTTGGAATTTTTGTTCTTGTTCTTTCGTTCGCGACCTGAGAGAACATCAATCGCTTACGCAAAACTATCATGCTTAACTTAATATTGCCAACATTGCAATTAAGCTTCAGCCTCGGCAGCGATTTAATAAAGATCATCAACAGTTTTGAGCTAATGTCACTATTGTTTTTCTTCATCTGCCGCAAAATGTTGTGTGCAAATACGGCAGCTGATGACACCAAGTTGAGCATTCACTACTCCGATGGCGGCAACCTTACAACGATCTCAGCCTCGTCGCTGGAGACGACGTCTGATACAGACTTGCTGCTCACCTGCTCAGTTCTCAAGGGTGAGCTGATATTTCTAGTTTATTTATAAGATTTAAATTTGTTTTAGTAAGAACTATTTCTATTAGGAATTCTTATGCAGATTTATCACGTGTGTAATGAACAAATTATAAGCACATTCATGATCAGTTTATCCTTTCTGCGTGACACAAGTGAACAAATATTCGACGTCAATGAATTTGTGTGCAAAGACTTTTTTGTTAAGCGAATCAACGTTTTGTTCTTTTCTGCAGTGGACGACGACAGAGTTCTTACATTTTAATTACCTCATATAAAGAAGTCAGATATATCAATGGTCATCAGCAGGCCTTCAACCAACGCTGCAATTAATTATAAATTATGATGGCAGCACAATTAAGACTTGCACTCCAGTAATCTCCTTGAGCAGAGTGCGCTAATGACAAGGATGAACTTACGTGGACTGAAGACGGCCTAGAACTAAAGGACCAAATGTATGGTGCCGGAAAAGATGAACTAGTTCTGGAGAAAACTGTGAAAATCAGCGCGCCAGCATGTGGTAGAAACCTGACCTGTAACCGCTCACACAACCAAGACACTACCAGCCTTAGGAGCGTCACCGTGAACTGTACTGGTAAGTCTAGTAAATATTTTGCATAATCAGGAATGGTGGGAGAAAAATGTCTCGACAGTAAGTGGAGACATTTTTCTCAAACTAGTCCTAATCAGCACTATTCTGTCATCAGACCTCCAATCAACGCTGAAATTAATTGTGAATTGCGATGGTATATCAGACCAATTAAGCTTGTATAATGTGCAAAGTAAATACTCTGCCCGTTAATTGGCTGGCTTCCATCCGTCGGTAGGAGTAACGTCACTCTGTGGGTTGTAGTAACAAATATAATCGATACTTTTACGTTTATCTTTCATTCCTTTTTTAAACTTTCCTGTTGTGCGTACTTTTATTATTTTTACAAAATCTTCCGCCATGAGATTCGTTCAAACGTCAGAAGGTTCAGAGCGACCATAGCACACGACGATCTTTCTCTTCATTCCTTTATCATCTTTGCATAAACAATTTTTTGTCTAACGGAAGCCTTACATTTACCATTTCAATAAAAAATTTTTCTTCTCAACAGTGAAGGCGGAGGAAGTCTACGAAGCTCCAGAGTCGTACTCTGTAGGCGCGATAATTGGAATTTTGTGCGGCCTCATCGTAGTGCTTGGAATATTGGCCGTTGTATTGAATAAGGTGATGTAAAGTCTGTGACGAGTGACAGGATGAAGAAAATCTATGAGTTGTTTGTTTATTGTTGTGGTATATAATAACAATGAAACCTAAATATCGCAAACGGTGGCGAATACTTTGTGCATTAATGCGCTAGCTACTCCGAGCAAGAGTTTCCTCCTTTTGTAATACACGTTATTTCGAGTATTAGTTACCCCGTTACCAGCACTTCCCGCTTAGAATGTGAGTTCCTACCTATGTAATACCAGTGAATTGGAGTACGAGTTAATGAATGTAAGTTCCACATGTGCAATAATAGTGATAGTGTATCGTCTAAGCTTGAATCTAATGTCATTTAATTATAGTTGAAGATTTCTGCGATTTATTAGAAAGACGGGACATTGTACATGAGTTTCACGTGTCTCGACTGTAATTGTAAACAGTGTCGGTAATGTGCAATAACTTGGAATTTGTTTTCTAATTAGTTTTTGTTCCACACCTGTTAATGGAACTAGAAATAAAAATACAATTTTAATGTTGTAAGAGCAACGAAAATAAATTATTTCCTTGTGGTATTGAATTATTTTCTGATCATTGCTTCAAGCGAAGCAATGATCAGAAGATCAGGCAATGTCAGAAGAAAATTTTTTTTATTGGTGAATTTAATTATTTGGTTTACATGAATATTGCACTAAGGTGCTAATTATATTGTTAATTGTCCAATGAAATTATGGTGTGTTATAGAGACATAGTGTGATGAGACTAATTATTAATTAAAAATGAAATATATGAAAAATTCTTGTTTAATTTGCAAATTAAGCATATTAATGACGTAAATAAAAATTAGAAACTCTACTTGCTTTTTATTTCAAAATTGCACTGAAGTAATAATAATGTTCTGTCATTAGTTCAGTATACTCGAAACTAACTGCGAAGTTAACTGAATATGAATAGATTTATTCAATGTCAAGCGATTAAAACCATCGTGTATTTTGGTGTCAAGATGAGTTTCGCTTATGATGATCTTCAAAATTTCGATCATAACTCAGCAATCAGCATGACTCAAACGTCCATTAAAAGGCGGCAAATACTCCCTAGAAGTTTTTCATCTTGTTTTGAGATTGAAATGTCCTGCGGTGACATACTGATTTAAAAAATTGATCTTTTTTTTAATATCTCTTTGCAATTTTTTATTAATTTAAAGATGAATTATTATTCCAAAACACTCCCATAGATGTTACATTTTAAACCATTAACTAATAGAATAGTAAATTGCGGCCACCCGTTTTTTCCAGATTTTAATGCAGCATTAGTCAGTAAAATATACACGTATGAGATTGTTGATGTTTCATTATTATTTTTAAAATCTTGATTTATTACATGTATTCACACTTTTCCTATAATGAATTTTCCCGTTCTTCGGCTAATATTATTTTGATCGCAAATTATTTACACACATATTCGAGTAAACGAAACGTATAAGGGCCGTGCTTCAAATTCAACATCTCCCATTTGCTGGAAGTGAGCAAGCAATCTATTCTGTTTTTCGTATAGTGTTCCAGTTTCGGGAACATAAAAAGCTATGCAAAATATTACTAACATAATTTTTGTTGCGTTACGTAACCAAGCAATACAAAGAAATACTACCTCGGTGCGCCGAAGATTCTAGATCGATCGGGGAAAAAAACACTGTCGACCTTTGCACAAGATTCGAATGATGTCCTTGATGTCATCCTGAGGAAGAAATTTGACTAATGTTGCGTGGGCTTCACTTCATTGACGGGGATGCACCTGCAGGCTAATCAAGCTGAATTATCAACGAAGGCACCGAAACTGAAAGAGCAAACAAATCGTCTTGATTCACCGAGCAATCCGGCAAGGCCACAAATGTAACCTGATGAACAGGTGTTCTCTAGAATGTGTCTTCGTGCTGCAGCAAAACAAACCGCTGTGTAATGAAGAGCCAATACAGAGGATTTGATTAAGTTCAGAAGCTAATAGAAGTGCGATCATCAATATAAGCAGGAGTCGAGCCGATGACGACCATCGGTCTGCTAGCTGCAAGCGAGCAGCCAGCATGGCGAAGAAAGGAGCTGCTCGAGCGCCCCCTCATCTCGTGCAAGGCCCTGGCGGCCATCTTAGCGATGCTAGAACGACCAAAATTGCCCAAGGAATCAAACGCAAGTCACTGCGTCGTATGTCTGATGTGACCGAAGCTGAACTTGAGACGCTGTCCGCTGGAGAAATGAATTCAGCTTTCCTTGCTTCATATGGAGAAAATCAAACAACGGAATCGGACCGTATGGACTGGAAAATGAAAACAACGCAAAGACGATACTCAAAAAATTCTGATGTAACGAAGAATTTGGAATTTAGAAGATTTTTTAACGTGAACCTGGACATTCCAACACTTTTTGTCGGCATGCTGGCTATACTCCTGATCCTCGCGACTCGAGTTGACTCTGACGTGCAAGCCTTGGATTCACCACAGGAAGCGAGGTACCTCGTGCAAGCCGCTCCAGCTACGGCGACCGATGGGGCTCCGGACTCAGGACAACAGGTAACAGTTTCTACCTATAGTTTTAAAAATCTATCGAGTACATTCTATTTATTTATTTTATAATTCAAAAATCTTGTTTTGCTTCTGAATTTCTGATTCTAATTTGAATGTATAATTGTTTTATAACATTGGAAACAGTCGTAAAATGGATGGTATCAAATAATATTTCATCCCATGAACAAGTTTACTACCAAATAAAAAACATAGGGCAGATGGAAATCAGAAGGCGGGGAGCTTTATAGTATGTTTATGGATGCACTTAATTAACATAAAAATGCTTCTAAAATGAAGCACAGGAGAATGTTTGCGTAGCAGCTGAAGTATGAACGAGCTATTTTGACTGGAAAGTCAGCGTCGTCTCGGGTCCCGTACTGCCTGATACAGCCTATGCACGATATTGTACTATAGAGCCGTACACTCAACACTTACGTGCCTGTAAATTAGGAGGTATAGAGCCACGTGATGCAGAAGCTCTGGTGAAGCTTCATTCTTCCTTTCTATCTCTTCATTTCTTTCTGTCTACATTTTCTTCGGGCACATTCAGCCTACTTCTGAACCCATTTCCCCATTAATATTTCATAGTGATCACCTTATGAGATTAAATTATGCAATTTTTTATATAATTGTTTTTATAAGACATGTGCTTATAAAAACACAAAAATAGAATGAGTCTTGTAAGTGCGAGAAAAATGAGTCCAGATATACATCGTGCACAACCGCTGACATCGCGACATGCATGGAAATCCGTAATTTCGTCAGTGTCAGCCTCCTCGGGTAAGGTGTTTATACACAGGGAAAGTATTAGCCGATTGTGGTAGCGGCAAGTATTTTTTACTTCAAAATTTGAGTTTTTTTATTTTAGTTTTTAGCCGTAAATGTTGATAATTTTGATAGAATTGATAATTAAAAGTAAAAAATAGTACTTTATCTTCCAATTTTTAGCCCAGTATTTGAAGCAAAAAGTATTTGATGGTACCACTATCGGCCAATACTTTCTCCGTGTAAAAGCACTTTTCTAGAATTATGATGAATTAATAGAACAAACAAAGCTCTATTTTACATAATAATTAATGCTTCATGAGACACCATGTGAACAAAAGCTACGCAAATTTCATATATACCCTGAATACTTAAATTTCATTGATGTCATTAATCGCAGGCTGCAGCACCTGCTTTTTCCATAACCATAAGAAAATTTTCATCTTAAAAAGAAATACATTCAAAAATTTCATTCATACCGCCGACGCATTGTATTCGACGAATACTACATTGATCTTAAACAAATGGGATCAAATTATTAGCACATAAAATAAATTTAATGAGGAGCAGATCGTTGGTGTCAAGTAACATGAATCAAGCAAAATCACTCTCGGAAAAAATTAATCCATAAATAAAAAATTCTCATATCATTAGTGAAATTACAAGGTAAATAAATTCGGTACATGCTGTACAACACATGAGCATGAATAGGATATAATGTTTGTCTAAGTGCTATCCTCGCTACATTTTCCTACCGTTGTCAATCGCTGGTTAACTAAACCCGCAGCATAAGTGCGATCCATAAAAATCTTGTAAGTATTAATGCAATAAAAATCCATGAAAGAATGCGTGTGTGGCGGTACAGTTCGTCCTGAAGGCATGAGCCTGAAAATACGATGTACGATTTTTATTTGGTAGAAACCCATACGGCCAAGAAATGCAATACTTTGAAGAAACTCCAGAGCAATTTCCTCCTAGTATGTTTGAATTCTAAGTTCTGATAATGCTGTTGTTGGTGGTGTCGTAGCCAAAAATACCAATTCGAAGTCTTTGGAAGCTTTTGACTCTTCAAGAAGGCTGCTGAAAGTTAATCATCTGATATTTTATACGGCTGGTAAGCCTTTTTTGCACTGCCTCTAGTGAGAAAAATATTATATAAGCTTGAAAGCTGAAAAAGCAGCATTTCGTATTGCACTGAGCTTCAACTCCTGATTATGGGCACTAGAATAAGCTGTTCGTAATTTGAAACGAGGGATTAAAAATGAAATAATTATTAAAAAAATTGTAATAATTCAAATCCAGTTTCACAACCAAAAAGAAAACTGGTGATACTTTGAAATTTAAATGAAATAGAATCTACATATGAGGACTTTTTGAACACATATTCCAGCTAACGGGCCTCTTTTTCTGAAAGTAATGGAAAAGATGAAAGAGAATGGGTATATAACATCCAACCTCTAGGAATGACTCACATAGAGATAATTCTAAATTAATTTCAATATTAGGTCTTCCCAGCGTTTGCAAGAATCGATCATTCCATCTATTTTATTGCCCTATTATTCCAGATCCCGTCAATGCGAATCGCATGTTACCGAATCCAGTTAATAATAACAAAACTAATGTATTTTATCAATGAAATACGTGTTGAAACCCTCATTAAGCAGATAATCCAATATGACTCTCTTTTGCGAAGGTAAAAAATTGATTTCAGGAAAAATTTAATTTATAATAATTTAAAAATCAAATCCACATTTTAATCTAGTTTTCCCTCCTCCCGTTTTACAATGCTTTACTGTTCAAGTGTTCATATGCAATTTGATACTGACGTGAAAAGTTTCGTGTATATGCACTCGAACGTTGTATATTTACGAAACCAGACCTCACAGCAAAAAACTTTCATGAATATATAATAGAATGAATATGACCATTACTTATAATGGACAATCCATGGCTTATGAGCAAATAAATCTGAGAACGCTCCAGGAAATGAGCTCAGAACGGCAATTTCGCTGTTTGGTCATGGAAATTTATTTACAGTTTAAAGAAGCGATTCACTAGAATAATATAGAATAGTCACCAAAGTTAGGGAAATCTTTATAAATCAGAATCAGCATGAACGATTAAGATTGAAATATTCTGCTGTAGTTGAAGTGAAGATATGAGAAGAAAATTAAGAGAAGGAAGGCAGGGAGCCGGAAGTGCGAGCTAGCATGAATGCTTAAATAATTGCTAACATACAACACATTCACCATTGAGCAGTGTTGCCAATTCAGTGTTTTCCCACTAGATCTAGAGTATTTTCAACGCATTCAGCGGGAAAAATGAGCTTTAGTGGGAAAAAATGTGTTTAAAACGCCGGTAAAATAATGTTTTTAGGTACACAATTTAATATTGAGTGTATTATCACTTGAAAATGCCAAGTTTTAGCCTGAAAGACATTGAAATAGTCGGCAACACTATCATTGTGGGGAATAAATCATAGCTTTTTGATAAGTTAGGCGGTAAAAAAGTGGTAAAAAAGTGGTAAAGTGGTAAGTGGTAAAAATTTATTTTCTGTAATTTATTGTACAGAACACCTATGGGGGTCATTGGACGCATTTTATGCAGGCTTCAGACACCTTAAAATATTCTAAAGCCTCTTAAATGATTTGTGTTCAGTTATTAAAATATTATGCATTTTTTTATCGTCGAAGATTTCATACATACTTCCTGTGTCTGTTTTTGTCTACACTGAAGATGTTGCTGAGGGTGTAGCCCCCTGTTCTTAAAAACCTGCATCTCATTAACTCGCACAAATTCATTGTCAAGCATTGTTAAAACACATTTTTTTGTGTGTTTGATAACACTTCATTATCTCTTTTAAGCTCCAATGAATTCCTTTTTGCTTTTCCATGAATAAAATAATCCTTAAAAGAAAATGTACTTACCCCAGGAGAATCAGGGATATAATTTAATTGCAATATTAGGAACTCAGAAAGATTATATTTTCAGGAGACCAATCGGGAAGAAATCTACTTCATTAGAAGAAAATCGGATGGAACTTTGCGGAAGTGCAATGGTGATTTAGCTATTACAGAAGATGACATGCAAGACATCGGAATTAAAGCCAATATTTTGAACATAGTGTGCGAAACACTTGACACCGACCGAATTGATAAGTCTCTGTCCAGCAAATCTCAACAAAATTTAGCTATCGAAAGGTATTTAATAAAATCCCAATTTTCGTGCGATCTTATAAACCCATGGTGGCCGGAAAGCTGGGATCAACAGATTCAAAGTTGCCGGGAAACCCATGAAACATCGGAACTCACCGAATACACGCAAAGTTTAGAAACAGGTAATACAGATTTCAGTTCTAACGAAAAAATTGAATCTATCGCAACTTCTGAAATTATTGTCACTACTACATCGAGCTCCACTCCAGAAACTTCAGTGACTGAATCCATCACGACAACTACACCAACCGGTGCTGAGTCTTCTTCTGGAACTTCTGAATCGGGAGTATCTACAACTGCTGCATCGCCAGTCACTGGCTCAGCAACAGATAGAACACAGTCCGCGACTGTCGGAACTGTTGTGTCTGAAATTGTCACATCAGAGTCTGCTTCAGAAACAGCAACTCCAGCTAAATTCGGAACTTCAGCACAATATCCGACTGAAACACGATCCTCCTCAGAAGGAACGACTGCAGCTTCGTTCACAGCAACGATTGAGTCCACTACGACACAAGCAACAGAATCGCCTGTTGTAACTGGTACTGAGAGTGAATCTCAAACAGAATCAGAAATCACCACGACATCGACAGGAAGATCAGAAACAGCTTCCACTGCTGGCGAGGAAACTCCAGTGCCAACAACTGTTGAACACAGTGGATCTGTCACAACTTCAGGAATTACTACCACTACTGCACCGAGCTCCACCTCAGAATCTTCAGTGACTGAATCCATCGCGACAACTACACCAACTGGTACTGAGTCTTCTTCTGGAACTTCTGAATCGGGAGTATCTATATCTGCTGTATCGCCAGTCACTGGCTCTGCAACAGATAGAACACAATACACGACAGTCGGAACTGTTGTGTCTGAAATCGTCACATCAGAGTCCGCTTCAGAAACGGCAACTCCAGCTACATTCGGAACTTCAGCACAATATCCGACTGAAACACAATCCAACTCAGAAGGAACGACTGCAGCTTCGTTCACAACAACGATTGAGTCCACTACGACACAAGCAACAGAATCGCCTGTTGTAACTGGTACTGAGAGTGAATCTCAAACAGAATCAGAAATCACCACGACATCGACAGGAAGATCAGAAACAGCTTCCACTGCTGGCGAGGAAACTCCAGTGCCAACAACTGTTGAACACAGTGGATCTGTCACAACTTCAGGAATTACTACCACTACTGCACCGAGCTCCACCTCAGAATCTTCAGTGACTGAATCCATCGCGACAACTACACCAACTGGTACTGAGTCTTCTTCTGGAACTTCTGAATCGGGAGTATCTACATCTGCTGCATCGCCAGTCACTGGTTCAGCAACAGATAGAACACAATCCACGACAGTTGGAACTGTTGTGTCTGAAATCGTCACATCAGAGTCCGCGTTAGAAACGGCAACTTTATCTACTTCAGCTACTGAATTCAGTAGCGAAAATCATGCTCATGTATCAAGCGTTCCGTCGCATGTCTCTGGAAGTCATCAGCTGAATCCTAGCACTAGGGAATCAACTCAAGAATCACATCATCTCTCATGTGAGTACATGAAAAATTGGTTAATAATTACGTTATTTTTTGAGTCCCAAAATTTAATTTTCAAGTGCTCCCGAACCTTCTTTACTATTACCAATTAAGTGTCGAATGACCGAGTACGCACCGATTCATCTCATTTTCAAAGAAAAATAAGCTTATTATATTCTGATCGTCATAAAATATAAAGAATTCGCGTTTTTTGCTCGCAAATGAGCAGCTGACTTAGTTCCATGGTTTCATAACCATCTGATTATTTTCATACTTTCTAGCAAAATTTTGAAATTAAAAATACTCTAGATGTAATTTTGGGATTTGTAATTTTTTAGTAAAGAGTTCGAATGATTTTTGGAAAATAAGCAGGCTCAGCAAAGAGTTCGAGTTAGTATTTTGGAATCCAAGTAGGCTCAATAATGAGTTCTAGTTGATTTTGGCGAAACAAGTAGTCTCAGTTAAAGCTCCGGTTAATTTCGGAAGGCCAAAAAATCTCATTGAAGAAATCAAATTTATTTTGGGAAGCCATTCAAAGGCTCATTAAAGACTTCGAGGCAATTTTTGGAAGCTAAGCAGGCTCATAGAAGAGTTCAAATTAATTCGGCAGGAGCGGCTCACTTTCTGTGTGCCTACAGCCAGCGAAGCGGACGCTAAACTTATACTCTCCACTTTTGATATGCTGCTGCTGTATAATCACGTACAGGGGGGTTTGAGGTCAAAGTTTTCACTCGAGCCATTTTTCCCAGGATCTCAACCGTTAGAATCTCATGAAAATTGGCACAGATGCGTACGCATATTTTTTCTACCAAACCTTCTTGTCGGATTTCCGAAATTCCCACTCCTTCCCCCCCAAAATCCCCAAAAAAGGGGAAAATTTGGTCAAAAAATTACCTAAAATGAGATTGCGGAAACGATCATAGCTCGAAAAGTTGCAAACTCAGAGCAATGCGATTCATTTCAAACGAAAGGTAAAGGATTGGAGTGTGTTTGGGATTTCGAACGTTTTTCTGTCGGGTCAAAACTTCATCCCTAAATTGGGGGTCAAAGTTGACCCTGAAAAAATTGTTTTCGGCCATTTTTCGGTGGTTTTTCAACTCTCGCGACCAAACCGTAAACATTTTTGCCATAGTAAAAGCGGAAAAAAGATGCGTCTTGTTGAGACAAACACACTGGTGAAAACGGATTTTGAAAAAGTTCAAAACTCACAAAGTTGTGAGCGAAACTTTGATCAACTTTGATCAACTTTTTACCAACTTTTTCCCTTTTCTCTTCACAACTCTACGAAAAAATTTTGTATATTTTTTTCAACAACCCTAACAATAAAGAACAAGTCTTTGCCTTTAATTTGGACCCTGTTTCATGATCCTAGCTTTTATAGATATCGAGATATGATTTTTCAAAGTAGACAATAATTGACAAAATTTTCGTCCAACTCGCCGTGGTCCGGGCGCTGCTCTGAACGTGTTCTACGAGTTTACTTTTTAGACTATTGTGCAAGCTGCGTAATTTTAGGAAGCTTTCTGAAAGTTGGTATCGACAGAGGATAAAATTGCGCTAATTACTGCCTATTTAACTCATTTTCAAAAAAAATTATTTCTATTAGAAATTTAACGATCAAAAATAAACCAAGATTCGGTTCTGCTCATCTATAAAATACTTTATTAGGCACTTATTTTTTTAAGTTAGACACTCCATTCGTATATGGTTATTTTGCGAAAAAAAAACTTCTCATATGTACCGTTAAAAATCGTTTTAATGAAGCAATAAGATTGCTCCCTGCCATGTATCTGCAGTCCTTGGGCCCGAACGTGAAGGCGTTATAACTCTTTATAGACCAAGATTGAAGAAAATTCACGCAAATAATCATTAGAAGAAAACTAAAATACTCTCTGGGGGGCCCGGGGGGTCTGCCGGGCCCCTTTTTTGCAAATATTTGTAAGATTGAAGAGTTCCGTGACAATTCCTCCTTACTTCCTTCACCGGTTCTACATTTCGACAGTCCACCTCAAACGACGCTCCGTTTTCTTCGTGACAATGAATTGAATCATGGATAACTATACTAATTCAATTGGAGTAGGCAGCGCTCGCAAATGCAACTAGTAAGTTGAGAAACTGGTACCACAAGAAGCTTTGAAGCTGTGTTTTTTGCAACCAACGACTAAGTACTTAAACTTTTTGCACTGTTACTTTGATAGAGGAAAACCGACACCCAGGTTATTGATGTTCGGAGTATTTAGCCCGGAGTTCGCATTTCCAACACGTTCAGTGAGTGTTGGAAATGCGAACTCTGGCCACAATCATGCACGGAATCGAAATAGAATTAATAGGAAATTAAACATGTCGTAAAATATACATCATTTGCTGAGGTTAGGTTCAAGCCAGGAACAAGTTCCTATGGCGACAATCACATAGGGTGGTTAGGTTAGGGTTGATTAGGGTAAAGCAAAGTTAGTTCAGGTTAGGTTAGGATAGGTTAAGTTAGGTTAGTTCTTGTTGGGTTATGTAAGGTTAGGCAAGGTAAGATTAGGTGAAGTAGGGTTAGGTGAAGTAGGATTAGGTTAGGATAGGTTAGGTTAGGATATGTTAGGCTGTGTTCAGTTCGGTTAGGTTAGGTTAGGGTTTCTTGGCTAGGTAAAACTAATGTAAGATTGTTTTAAACACTAATGATACATACAGGAAAAGGCCACAATTGGAGGATTGCTGTGTGTCGTAGGAAATGTGTGGCAAGAAGAAGAGAGAAAAATAAAAAAAAGTAAAAAAAAAGTTTAGCGGCTGATCTGGTTTTGGCAATTTGACAATCTCTAGATAGGCTTCTTAATTCGTCTACACTCGGTTTTCAGCAGAACAATTCCCATTGACTAAACACTATTTATTTATAATTTTGGTCGTTTTGTGCACTATTCTGAAAGATGCAATGAAATTTTGTGACTCACTTTAATCTGTGGTTGACTTTGCACAAATCCTTGATTGGTGATTATCGGATTAGGACTGGCAGCGTTATGTATAAAAAAAATCAAGGATCACGTAGGATTTATTTATTTAAGTGATGCACGAATGCTTAATAGCTTTACAACATCAACAATTTGTCTGTAACAATAATTAACTATGCCATAATTTCTGCGTATAAAATAAGTAACATTATATTTTTTAATGGAAAATAATATTTTATCCAAAAACACCTTACTTAAAAGACCTTTTATCTGAAAATTAAAGTTTACTTTCGTTCAAAGGTCGAAAAACCAGCCGTTTAATCAATTAACTTAATAATAATATAAACATAAATTGATTAATAATAAAAACTAAACCCTCTCGACCGGTTACCTCCATTGTCCGACTAACTCTAATTTTTTATTGCATCCCGCAGCGTCAGCGTCGTCGTCCTCCTCAGGCTTCGAGTTGAGCTTCAGTGAGTATGGAATTATTGGCACAAATACACTGCTATTAGGTAGACTGTTAAACATACTGAACTTCTGTGAACAATTATGCCTCCGACATATTCTTCGTTTAACGAGGGACTTTTAGAGATATTCAAAATTTAATAAAATTGTGCATCGAGCCCACGGCACCTCATATGCATGAATAAAATATTGCTAATGTAAATATATCTCAATCTGCATTGTTAATAGGTCGTTACTGATTTCCAATCTGCATTTTAATAATTCGTAAATTCAATGCCATGTGTTTGGTAAATATTAGTCGATACCCAGTTTTAAATTTCCTCAAGTTTTAGAAGCATCTGTGACCATTGTAATTTTGCAACATAGACTATGCCTGAAATTTATGTTTTATTATCAGCAATAATTCATAGAGTCACCATTAAACATCACTGAACTTGGATGTATGGCATCCTCGGATAAGATCCACTTCAAATAATATCAGTAGACCTTGATTTGTATCCCGTAATTACGTTTTCTAATGCTCGTTTCATATATAAATACCTTATTGTCTGTGTTAATTTAATTTATATATAGGTAACATTGAGAAAGAACTTGATAGATGCACGTATGAGACAGATTACTTGAAAAAAAATGGCGTTGGAAAAAATGTGCGTTTGTGGTAAAAGATGAACAATTTTAATTTCACTTGCAGGCGCTGTCATGTGGACAACCCCACTGATCACCACCACGACAACACCACGTACGTCCAAAAATAGCTTATTTTTGACCAATGCTAATATTTTTCGTTCTGCGCCATAAATATGTAAAAACCTTTGTGCCATTTGGTAACAGTCAAAATTGAACCTTTAAGTTTATAATCTGAGAGCATTGAAGAGTTTAAGTTAAGCCTACCCAACTGATGTAAAATATTTTGTCCTCGGTTGCTTAACATACCCTCCGATCTGATTTTATTCTGCTTCTTACTTCTATTATTGTATTATTTATTGAATTTTTCTATTTTATCCTCATTTCAACAACAATGAAATGGGGATAAATAGAAAATTTGTAATCTGTTATTAAGTGTAGGAAAACTATGCAGTAAACTTTTTCTAGATGTGATAAGACAATATTCAGTTATAATACAATAGGATTTTCAACAATAAATCGTGCAGCTTGGAGTTTTAAGTTCGTCTTCTTCCTGTACAGCACCACCCATCCCCTGCCAGGACATCACCCTCACCAAAGAACAACGCATCATGACCATCACTTCGCCATACTACCCCAAACTCTACCCTTGCAACTATCACTGTGACTTCCGCATCACGGTAAGCACTTTTTCCAACCCAGTCAACTATCACTGACTGTCGCATCACGGTAAGCCCTTTTTCCAACCCAGTCAACTATCACTGACTTCCGCATCACGGTAAGCCCTTTTTCCAACCCAGCCAACTATCACTGACTGTCGCATCACGGTAAGCCCTTTTTCCAACCCAGCCAACTATCACTGACTTCCGCATCACGGTAAGCCCTTTTTCCAACCCAGTCAACTATCACTGACTTCCGCATCACGGTAAGCCCTTTTTTCCAACCCAGTCAACTATCACTGACTGTCGCATCACGGTAAGCACTTTTTCCAACCCAGCCAACTATCACTGACTGTCGCATCACGGTAAGCACTTTTTCCAACCCAGCCAACTATCACTGACTTTCGTGGTACCTTTTCCAAACAGCCACAAGCAAGGTCTGATACAACTACAAGCACCTTTTCCAAACAGCCATTTTCCGCAGCAGTCTACAGAAATCACGCATCTTTATACCGGGTCAATTTTAAAGATTGGAATAACGTGTATCAGCCAGCGGTAGAGATATGATTATGATTAGGAATTATTGTGATGTTGATGCAATTTAAGAATATACCAATTAATTAATTCATAGTTAGTAGGTGTAAGTTGCGCGTTAGTTCGTTGACATTGTAAGACCATCGAATAAAATATATTTTTATTGTACTATTAACCTGTTACATAAGGTACATTAAGTTTGACAACGATAAAATAAGCTCATTTGCTCCCGTTATTATACATTAGCCGTGTCATGCTGAGAAAATTTATTTATGAAACGTAGAAATTTAAGCGAGTGCTCTAAATTATACTCCCATTCAAAAATAGGAGGATTAAGGTTTTATTCAAAATAACTACGTAAGTGGTGCATTTGGCGAAATTTTATACTTAGCTATCATATTCGACGCTATGATCATTCTTCACGTTACTTCGTGTGGCATCAACCGAATGTAAGAGGTCGCTGTCATCACAATGAGGTGTACTGCGTCGGTATCATAGGCATGCTATAAAGCATCATACTGTATTGCTGGATGATCATCACTGAATATTGTATGCTCAAAGCCGAAAAAATTTAAAATGCCTGTCATGTACACAAAGAAATATTCATAAATTTCAGCCCAATTTTTTCATCAAATCTGTCTAGAAACACATGAAAAGAATATTTATGAAATTGAACCATCGATGTAATTGAATGACATCATATGCACCATTCTGTTTATGAAACATCGCACCAACCAGCACTGTGAATTGATCCCTTCTCTTTACAGAGCCCCGAAGGCACACACATCTTTATGGCCTTCGAAACGTTGAAGGTTGAATACACCGAAAAATGTACTAAGGACTACGTGCAGATCGAAGGCCTGAAGGATTACTTCGGCGTTAAGTAAGAACATTTTACTATTCTTTTATGTAATATCTTTGTTCTGTTCTTCTAACGAAAAACTTTGTTCTATTCATTCATATATTGAAATTGTTATATTCTTTTAAAGCATGTAGGCTAAAACTGGTAAAGATCTTGCGCAATAGTAGCAACAAAGGGAAGTTGCTAGCATTTACTGGTTCCAGGATGAGTTTCAGAATGTTTATTAAAGCCATTCAAGTGTTCTCACATGGCTTGAATTTGGATTGATCAAAAATATTATAGAATTATTTCGCAGGGCTTAGATTGCCGCATTTGCTATTTGATTATTTACATAGAAGCAACTCAAATTTGACGGTTCTTGCGCCAATTTGAAAATTGGAAGTGAATGTAAAATTTTTCACAAAAAAATAAATCTCAGACTAGAAAGAGGAAGCATTACTCAATAGTTCCCAATCGGCGCAATGGTCACTGTAATATTTTGTATTTCCTAGCTCCGTGCCTGGGAATTTTATTATTGTAAAAAGCGGCGAAGAATAAATATTCATGATTCTTTTACACTATTTGCCTACTTTTACAACTGAAAATAATTATTTGCTTTCTGTGCCACAGGATTCGTGGCATCGAGCTGGACGACTCTTAATACTAACCATGCATCCCACAGGATGTGCGCCACCAAGCTCCCTCCTACCTGGATGACTATTTATACCAATCATACATCCTACAGGATGTGCGGCACCAAGCTCCCTCCTACCTGGATGACTATTTATACTAATCATTCATCCCACAGGATGTGTGGCACTAAGCTCCCACCGAGCTGGATGACTATTTATACTAATCATTCATCACACAGGATGTGCGGCACTAAGCTCCCACCGAGCTGGATGACTATTTATACTAATCATTCATCACACAGGATGTGCGGCACTAAGCTCCCACCGAGCTGGATGACCCTCGTCTCGAAGACCAACTATGTTGACGTGACCTTCCATAGTGATGGCTGCAAGCAACTCCGAGGCTTCAAGATGTTCATTAAAAGTAAGTTAACTTTTCAAAATTTCTTATGCCAGCAATTGAAATTATTGCTACACGAAACATGAAATTAATTTAAAATACTTCGTGTTATCAGTCCAGTTCCTGGACTTATTATATTTGTATTTTCGCTTGAGTTTGTATGTTAATATTGTGTCATTTTTTTCAGAAAGCACTGTCTCGTATTGCTTATATAATAGTCCTATCGATGTCAATGTATGAGAACCAATTGTGTGCAGTCCGAAAGACTTTATTTTTCTGAATGCAAACTATCATACCTCCACAAAACCTATTAGATGTCTTCAATGTCTTCAATGCCTGCAATGAAACCCAACTAATGTAAATTATTTTCTCCTCAGTTGCTTAACGTTTTCAACGAAGAAAACGTTACCAGCTGGATGACCCACGAAGGATGACCCTAGGATATCTCGCAACTACACACTTGGTATTGAAAATTGTTAGGAAATGTTCGTATACACGCACATCTCATTACGGTTGACAGTAAAAACCTCAATATTGCTGTACTTCAACCGTACATTAGCCAACACACAACTTGGTTTTGATCAAGTGTTACACATGCTATGAAATATTGAGAAATATAACAGATTGCAATTGAGTGACCTTTTTTATCCCGACCGTCTACGACCATGTATGTAATTTTTTCTTAGATACTTTATAATTATTATTGAATTGCGATGACTTCTCAGACTTAGTACTACTGCAACAAATTAGAAGAATTTAAATGAATGATCTCAAATTATTACACAAGAACCATATATGTAATTTTGATGATCACATCTGACAGCATTCATTTTACTAACCGGTGAAAAATAAAGAACATTCACTTAATTGAATAAAGCGGCAGTGGAAATTTTTGCAAATCGAATCACGGAGCCCAGAAGTAAATGAATTTAGCCCATATCTCGACCTTAAATGGAGCGAATCAAGACACGAGCCAATCATTTGAAAAAAATTACTAGTGTTAGTTACCTGATGATGAAACGAAAAAAAAAATATTGCGTTAAGGTGGATTTAAAGGCACACAATTACAACTTATGACATTCATAGGAACCTCTATAAAAGGCGTATCATTCTTCTAAATGACTCGTGAAGTAAAGCCTATCTAGGGCCCCTGGTTGAATTCAAACCTCTCTTGCACCCCTTTAGCTTGAATTAAAGCCTCTCTAGGATCCTTTAGTATGAAAAAACTCTCTATGACCCTATAGTCGAAATTACAGCCTTTCTAGGATACCCAAGTATAAACTAAAGCCAATTTATGTACTTTCGAAATGGACTAAAGCCTCTCTAAGCATCTTTAAATCAAACTATCGACTTTCTAGGACCCTCAGCAAGAATTAAATCTTCTCTAGGCCCTTCATGTGTCAACTACAGCCTCATTAATGCCTTCCAGTATGAACTAAAGCCTTTTTAGGGCATCTTGGTATGAGTTAAAACCTCTTTATGACCACTTACTTTATGACAAGCCTTGCTGGGACCCTCTAGTTCGAACTTGAGCCTCTGGAACTCCCTTGAATGCGTCATGGGGTTGAAGCATTATACAGCAGTTCCTTCTGCCCCACAAAAGACGTGCTATCTCTTCATCCTGGACGCGAAGAGAAAGGCAGCTTAACCAATGAACGAGCCCTCCTCCATCAGGAGGCGAGAACTTGTCCCGGTGGTGTATGGAGATGAAAATATTGCCACATAGGCGCGATGTCTGTTGGTCATGATATTGCCTGCAGCAAGCACGTGGCAATTATGTTGTTACTCTCGAATTGCGATGCAGGATCTACTCGACCTCAGTTCGCAATCCCGGTGTTGCGGGATCTACTCGACCTCAGTTCGAAGTCCCGGTGTTGCGGGATCTACCCGACCTCAGTTCGACGTCCCGGTGTTGCGGGATCTACCCGACCTCAGTTCGCAATCCCGGTGTTGCGGGATCTACTCGACCTCAGTTCGAAGTCCCGGTGTTGCGGGATCTACCCGACCTCAGTTCGAAATACCGGTGTTGCGGGATCAACCCGACCTCAGTTCGCAATCTAAAGTCGGATCTACCCGACTTCAGTTCGTAATCCTGTATTCACAAGTTAAACTCTTCTGCTTCATCTGAATCCAAAAAATCCTCAATATAAAGTTTCGTTCAAATCTGTTGAGCAACAAATGTCGTGGTCCCTGCAAATTTCAGCCCGTTTCACCGTATAACTCACGAATGAAGGTAAAATAGAATGAATTTTTCACCAGCTAAACATTACCTTTAGGTTCTAATGAATACGTGTAACAAGTTTCATCGAACTGCATTCATTAGTTTGGGAGATATTCCTTGTTCATTGAATTGGGAGATAGTATTACTTGGAGACCGGCCGTGAGATTGTCGCCTGTCGGAGATGTCAACTTGCCGGGCAGTCGGGCACAGCGACTGGCAAGCACAATTCCAGCCACTGATCTGAAGTTAGTGCGGGAACTTATTCGAAAGAATATTTATTTGCATGAAAAAAATGGCAATTATTTCTATGTGATTAGTGGCTGCATGATGTATTTCTGCGGATTCGTTTGATTTGATATACTACGTTACTCACTGAGCGTATATTGTTTAATTAGGAATAATTGCATTTATCTCGTATAATCTTACAATGATTCATCAGTCGGTGCAAATAGAAACGGAAGACATATTTTACAATTGGTAGGACTTGGCGCGTCTGGCTTCTTTTCAGTAAAAATAAAATTTATATGATCGCATACAAATATAAACACGATATAGTTATAACAATATCTGTCAGGTATATGCATTATTATTTGCAGGATAAATCATATGCAGGCTGGAAAGCCGACTTCCGGGTCCGGCAGACCGGTCCTGGTCCGAGTTTTAGTCAGTACATAATTCGAGATTTCGAGTACTTGTAGCCAAAGAAGGCGAAGGGACGGGTCGCCTGCCGAAGACCACAACTGCCCTTGATGTAATGGACCATCATGATTCCTGCCTTCCGGAACATAGCCTTCAACACTTCAAGCCATCCGTACCTAGGCCGTGGGTCGAACCGGCCCTCGGTCGAACGGCCACTTTTCGAAGGACGATAAATTTTGGAACAGAACTATGCTATCTGAAACCTAACCACAGATGCGGTGAACGAAAAATTACGTAATTTAACGATGCCCGGAAGTCATATTCGATCCGCGGCCTGGTGGTGGTCAATGCCGTTATTGCCGTAAGAGGACAAAGCCGAGTGGTGCACGGCTGATTGGTGTAGGTCCGGAGAGATCCAAGCCCCAAGGCGTTCGATTCAGGGCTTATTGGTGCACAAAATTGGTGGTGCACGGCTGCGCTCCCCTGAGGGACGACTGCCTGTGCTGTAGAGGTGGAGACGGCCCTCCACCTCCACTGCCGTTAGTCAAATGGACTATCATGATCCTTTTTTTCCCTTCCCTCGCCTCAAGAACGTAACCTATAACACTTCTTGACTAGCATTATCAGCCGCAAGCCACCAGACAGATCACATCCAGGACCAGCCTACCAGGGTCCAGGAAATTAGATCAATCAGCCCACAGGCACAGGAAAATAGCCTGATGCAGTATGGAGTATGGACTATGGCCAAGCATCGTCTGCCAAATGCCAATACTCTAAAAAATTTTACACCACCTGAACGGAGCGTGCCTGAGTGGCAGAGCCTTGCAGTGAATATGATGCTTTGAGTTTGATACCCGCCATCGACTGGTAGTCTGTCACTCTGTCTGGTACTAGCTGACGCCTGACTCCAGACCAGTCAGTAACTGTCTACTGTCTAGTATGCTCATATGCCATATATAGCTATGAGAGATCACAGGAACTTCAGGAAGCCAAAGTTGGTGTGCGGTGTTGAATTGTAATGCAACTGAACTATGCAGGTATCGAAGTATGCATTGCAACTGTCGTTTATGGATAGGCAGGTAATGTTATTGCAAGAAGATTGAGATTAGGGCTGGCAATCTTTCAAATTTTTTGAGAACATTTTTAAATTTTATTTTCAACACCAACTGTCCATTTATTCTGACTCTACTAAAAAATTTTTAATCATTCTGAGATTTTAAATGTTCTCTAAATCAGAAAAAGTCTTGAATTCTTTGTTAGTTTTGCCAAATAATTTATCAATGTATTGTGCCATTCTTTCACAGGTTCTATTTTCTCTCCTGTTAAAGTTTTATAGCTCCAGAGTCCAGTTGGATATTTTCCTGTAGGCTGGCTGGGTAGGTGATAAGGTTGTCAGTGATCAACTGCTCAAGATGATTATTATTAGATTAATGATGGCACTCAACCTAGTGCTGCTGTATCCTGTTTCTGCTGAGCTCAACGTCTCAGCTGTGGGGTCTCAGTTGCTGGTCATCCCTCTGCATTATTCCAACTTCAGCCTTGATGGACCAGGTTAATAAGAAAATACATTTTCATTTGGGTTCTTGTTGCCTCTCTGCATCTGCATTGCATCTGTTTTGGATTTATGTGACCTGTTTTTATCTAAATTCAAAGATCTTCAAGAAATATACTAATATCACCATTTTCTTTCTTAACTACAAGACTTATAAACAAATTTGACTACTTTTAAGAGTGATTTACTCTTGAAGTTTAAGACAATGTTATCAAATATATCTATTAATAAATAAATTTATATATTTACTATTGGATGTCGAAGTAATAGATGGGAATTCAACTGGCTATCATAAAACTACTTTGTGAAATTACATCTTTGTGATGTTTTGTTCATTAAGTTACCATATGTTCAGCTGTGCATTATTGCTGTATTGCTTGCTAGAGTAAAGTTGTTTAGGTATTGCAGTTCTTATCAATAACTTTTGGGTCTTAGGACAAACCTTATAGTGCATGTGTTAACATTTTTTGAACATTATCACCAGTACCTAGGGATTCAATTTGGAACTGGGACAAGCAATAGAAATAATAACTTGGTCAACCTAAGACAACTTTTGCCAATCTGGTGCAAAGCACAAATAACCCTATCAATTAGGTATATATTGTAATTGATTGTTAATCTATTATATTTGTAAAAGATTAAGCAAATATTAATGATATTTTTTATTTTAGATGTGCACTATACTGCCAGCATTGCTGGTCTGCCAGACCTGCCATCGTGGTTGCTCCTAAGCCAGTCGTCTACATCAGGCGTGTCTTTCCTCTTTGGTGTTCCTCCAGCTAATGATGCCTCTGTTGTGGTAATTAAATCAAAATTATTATTGGTTGAAAGGATATAAAATTTCATTCATGTTTGTTGATATCTTATGCATTTTTCATTAATGTTTGGTAATTTTCCTTCTAATTCACTGTTTTCAAAGTGGACATGCTATTTATCCATAAAATTTTACTCTGAATGTTCAGTTTATGAATTGTCTTCTGGACAGTTTATATTGAATAAAAAGATTGTCATTGTTTACTCATGGTCTATAATTGTTGGCAGGTGGAAGTGATTGCTCGTTGTCGTCAGACATACAGCACCAGCCGCAAGCTCATCAATGTAAACATTTCTGCTCACCACAGTGAGTTATGTTCTTTGATTGGAAGACCTGAATCTGTATATTGCATCTCATCAGGTATTTGGATACTTATTTGCATAAAATTGTTGCCTAATTATTGTTCATAATTGTATGAATTTTTGTCAATGTGTAGAGACAGTGCTGAATTATCTACCTACTGATAAATGAACCTAGGTTTGAATTGGATTCAGAGTTTGTACAATTTATCAAAATTCGTTTGGGAGCTTCTTTTTGGAAATTTTTAACTCTGAAGTTAAGTGGAAGTAAAACCATGTAATTGATGAACCCCTCAATCAGATTATTTACACCACATCAATATTTTTTTTGCTATTATTGTTGTTGAGATGCAGATCCATGCCATATTTCTAAATTTTGTTATATTCTTGTCATATTTATGAAATCTATGTTACTCCATAGCCTACAGAGAATTACGAAAATAAGCTATTAATGAACCAATTAACATTTATGGTGGAGCAAAAAAAGTTTGTTATGAATGTTGAATCCCTGTGCATCTTCATGTGGCATACCTTCTTTTGATGTTTGATAATGAATATGATGATAAGACTGGTGTAAATTCCAAGTTGAAGGACCTATTTATATGGCGGATGTTGTGTTCAACAGACTGGCAGTACGGTGTCTCTCTGAAGCTAACTAACCTCAACCTGCCTGAGCTTCTTGCAGCCAACAGCCACCAGGAGCTCCTGCGTATTGTGACCTCTGACCTCTGGAATGACACTCCTCAGGTACCACGTTTGTTACCAGCTACTTCTTCATACTCACAGGTCTCTTCAATGCCCATCATTCACTTCTGAACTCAATGTCCAGTATAGACTCGTTATTTCAGCATTGAACTTGTCTTCTATTTTTAAGAGAAGTTTTCTTTGGTTATTGTACATTTACTGCCATTGGAATGTGACAAGTTGATACTAAGGGTTTTGGCTCTTGGAGAAAAGGGTCCTCTACAGCTGCGGGAAATAGTCATCAAGATTTGGGGTTGTATTCTGTTGAAGCTGCTTCAATAGAATTGATGTATTCCGTAATCAAAACCCAACTCGCCATGACTGGATATAGCCTTCAGTCACGAGTGAACAACGACCTATCGCACCAGCCGTCAGAGGCCTAACTAACAGTGTCCACAGACTAAGTACACATAGCTGCCAATTACTTGTTTGTGATTTGAGAATTTAGCCTGATAAGCCATCAATGATTAGCTGACAGCGTTACCAACTCTGTGCTTGACAAAGAAGTCCATAACTTGGCAGCACGACCTTGGTCTTGAGTGTTTCAGAATAATTTTGCCAAAAACCTTTACCCTCGTCAAGTTTATTTTTCTCTGTCTGTTTCACTGAAAGTCAGAAGTATAATTTCCTGACGCTTCTTCCGCGAGACGTTTTCTTGCTGCACCAAGTCTCTGTGATCTCCAATGCTAAAGTTTAATTTAGTCTCGGCGATTTCCTACCTAACTCTTCGAGTGTTGCAGGCGCCGCTCGCCGTGGCTCAGTTCTTGCTGCGCCAAGTCTCTGTGATCTCCAATGCCAAAGTTTAATTTAGTCTCTGCAATTTCCTACCTAACTTTTGGAGTGTTGCAGGCGCCGCTCGCCATGGCTCAGGCTGCTGTCCCCCTGGCAGGCAAGCGCGCTGCTGCCGGCAGCTGGCGCCTCCACGGCATACGAGATGTGTTACCTGCAGGTTATATATACTCTATATCATGTCAGATGAATCTTAATTTTCTCCTATTCTTTTATGAAGTATCTATGATTTGAGTGAAAGTTTGAAATGAGCTCTCTGCTTGCTGATTGAAATAATGCTCATTGTATTGATATCCGAGACACTTGGCCCTAGCTCGGTACCCCAGGTTCATAAGTGACTCCTATAAGACGATCAATTTACTAATTGTTGTAATTATTTTTTTTCATGTTGGTTCTTTGTAAATATTCAATTTTAATCATTTATTTTCTAGGAAAATTTGATTGAAATAATTCATTTTCAACAGCTGGTAAATGGAGCAGACCAGATGAGCCGCCTCAACGCAGGTCCAGCCCCGGGGCTGTCGTCATCACGGGCCTCATGCCTGCCGCCACTCTGGGCGACAGGGTGCCCCTGCGTCCCGACGTCAAAGAGGGGTATGTGCCTCCTTAGCTGACACTAGATGATCATACCTGGGCCACAGGGTACCCCTGCGCCCCAACGTCAAGGAGGGGTAAGTGCCCCCTTAGCTGACACTAGATGATCAGACCTGGGCCACAGGGTACCCCTGCGCCCCGACGTCAAGGAGGGGTAAGTGCCCCCTTAGCTGACACTAGATGATCATACCTGGGCCACAGGGTACCCCTGCGCCCCGACGTCAAGGAGGGGTAAGTGCCCCCTTAGCTGACACTAGATCAGACCTGGGGCTCCTCAGCTGACTCTAGAGAAGGCTCGACGCCAAGGTTTTTGAAATTTTTTTGCGATTTTAACTAATCGGATCAAAAGCCTAGATGAGGTTATAGGTTTAATAACGGTTAAAGGTATGACCTATCATTCTCTCGGCTAAACACACACAGTAGCGATTATCTATGTTAACCTTAGTAGGTACCTACAGCAGTTGATGAATTGTATTGCATTCATTGATGTCATCATTTTAATGACCACGTTTTGTCTTCAGAGTTTACGTGAGCTTCGGGAGCGACCGGCCCTTCTCGGAAGCTTTGCTGCAACTGCAGAGCGAAGTGTCCATCCTCCTGAACAGGTCAGAAGTTTGGCAGACTTGTTGCTAGACTGGCAGACTTGAAGAACTCAGTTCTCTGTCAGCCACACTCGGTGCCTGACTGTCACTCTCTAAGAGCCCAGTTCTCTACTTGACAATAACGTAATTGTGTTGGCAACAAAAGTCTTCTTGCGTCCCATATTTCGATACGCATTTCTGTTAACCGGTAAAGCATTGGTTTTGCTTTCATTGTAGTGTTCAAATTTTTCTGTTATTGTATGTAATCGTGTGTACATAGGTTTAGTTTTATTTATAGGTTTGTGACCGCATTTAATAACGCTTCTGTATTTTCTCCTATTATGCATTATACATGGAGTGATAATGTAATGGTATTTATTATTTTATAATCTCTAAATATAAAATTATCTCATATTTTTAACACTTCTGTTCTTAACTTAGCTTCCTTCATGCTGCAATGTACATTTTTAGGTTTTCTTATAAATTTCCTAACAATAATGTATATACCTGGCTAGTGAAATTTAAGTAACTATTTAAATTTCCTTCTAAATAGTCCTACATAACTTTGGAGTGTCAATCGATCTACTTTAATCTTTTTCAATCAGTCTACTTCAAGCAATCTACTTCAATCTTTTTCAGTCAGTCCACTTCAATCAATCCACTTCGATCTTACCATCAATCACTCCAGCTTTCTTCATATTGTCTTGCACATTCTTTAAAATTTCTTATAATTTGTTGAATAAAGTGTACCCGGCTACTGTACACACGAGTTGTGTATGAGAGAAAACCTCTGCCTGCAGGTCGCCATGTCCGCACTACTTCAAGAAGACGTCGTACGAGCGATACTTCAGAGCCAGCGGCTTCGCTGTGGACTGGTGCAGCTTCAGGCTGGTCGGTGCTTCTGCTAAATAAGCTTACTTCATATTTTTAATTTCAAACTTTTATAATCTATTGAAACATGTTAATAAATTTCAGAAATAAATGGTCTATCAAACGTGATAAAATTTCAAGTATCAGGAAAGACGTTGATAAACTTCGAAAATAAATGTTTAAAATTAAATTACTGATTAGGAAATATTTAGTGCTTTTCAAGTAATTAAGTCATGATATGAATTATCTTTAAGTTTAACTCAATTTGAAACAGATTTTTCTTTTAAATTAAGTGTATGGAAAATGTAAACTTTTTGGCGTCAAAGAATATGCGAACCTTGCGGATATCTCTGAATCAAAGCTGTCATATTTCGAAGAAGAAGCTGTACATACGGTATTCTCGTGCTAGTGGCGAGTAATTCAATTTTTTCAATGGGAACATTTTTGCTGCCCATCGAAATTCTGCAATTAATTTCATTTCATGGCTGTTTCTATTGTATCATATTAATACTACTAGTGAGCAATAAAAAATGCCAAATTTTTATGCTAGGGTTGTGTTGTAAGCCAAGTTTCGTCAAGCAAGAATTTAAAAGACGAGAAAATGTCAAATTTTTTAACTGACAAAGGAGCTTGTCTCCGAAACATTTATGATGAAGAGTCATATGGTGAGTTTGCTTTGCGTTTAATTTTCTTTTATACTCTTGATGAACAAAACCCATCTCAGAAGTACAGCATATAAAATTTCGGTATCTTTCACTTATTTTTACAACACATCTTTTTAACTTCACTTCTTGTTGTTTGTTTGTCTGTCTGCTACAAATCTTGTAAACAATATTTAACGCATTTCTACCTGTAAAATCGATCTGAAATCTTGCACACTTGCGTAAATTCGGAGGCAATGCATGTATCAATTGACAGAATAAATAATTTTGAAAATTTTTAATTTTTTTCAAACTTTAGAATAAATTTCAAAATTAATTTTTTTAATATTTGATAATAAAACTAGAAATTAATTGTACATGTGTAACATCGGAGACACTGGATTCTTTAGAAGTGTTGTCTTTAAAAAGAGTAATTTTTCAGCGCATATTTAATGCTTCAAATTGCCTGCACACGACGAGACTAGATACAAATCACGTCGGATTCTGGCAAGTATGGATACATTATAATGGCGGAACTTGGACGTTGTCATTACTTGTAAGATATTACTTACAATTTAAGCAGACTAATGACATGCGTTCCATTGTGGCAGTTTGACGGCGGTGCGCTGCGGCAAGAGGGGCGGCTGGGGGCCGCCCCTGGGGACGCGTCCAGCCACCGTCTGCAGGAGGCGCTGCCTGACGTCGCCGCCGACCTGATCAACCGCCACGCCGCTCTCCTGCCCCTCATGCTGCGCTCGCAGGTGTCACAACTACCTTTGACTGGCCCCATGATTTATTTATGGTTCTTTTTAATTATCTCAATGTTCTATCGTTGGTTACCACCGCAACATCTTCTGAGGATTGCTTGAGTTGAGGGTCCAAGGGTTTTTAGTTAAAGTCCGAGTACCGAGTAGAGGCAGGAAGACCTGACACAGGTAGCCACTTCACGAACTCTGTGTAGCTTTTTGTCTGACTTTTTTTTGGAGATAAAATAAAATATTTCATTTTTTGGCTTAACAAGAGGGTTATCACTGACGCTCTTGAGTGCGTAGAATGAAAGAAATCATACCGCGCGGTTCCTATAAGGTTTAGAAATTGAATTTCTTAATATTATTATATAACTAAATTTATATGTTCTATTTCATTACTTATAGAATGGGGTTTTCCCTAATTTGATTGCTGTATAGCTTGAAATTTGGCGCTAGATCCTAAGCTGTCTTCGTTTTTTTTTTCTAACCTTGAATGCCTTCGGTCCTGTAAGCATAATTATACTTTGGCATCATACTAAATGTATATAAGAACCTACAGCACTGCTACTTTCATTACTCCAGCGAGACGGTGATTACTCGAGACGAAAGCTTGTTTTGAACCTCAAAAATTGCTTGACTGAAACTCGAATCAAACTACACACACACATATACAGAGTTCTGGATACCCGAGCACGAGGCAGATACTACTGTAGATACTATATATACCTACTATACGTTGTAGAGCAGTGATGAATTTAATGAAGGGAAATTAATACAATACGTGTGTGATGAAGTTGTGTAGCATGTGTGATGAAGATGTGCTGCATGGGACGGCGCTGTGTGTTCAAGCTGTGCCACGTAAGTGATGAAGCTGTGTGATGCTCAGGTGCCGCAGCAGTCGTACACGGGGGCGGTGGTGGAGACGGTGGTGGTGCCGGTGGTGGTGATGCTGCTGCTAGTGACGCTTCTCACCGTCGCTCTCTGCTGTGCCCCGCTCTCACAGTAACTTCTATCACTTATTTATTAATAACAACGTGGCAGGGAAATATCATCTATATTTGATGTTCAACCCCTCAGGGGGGACTTCTGACGCGTGTCTGTGCTCGTCAGAAGTCCTATGGGATTTCGCGCTCCTAGGGGGTTTTACTTGAGCGCCCCACCGCTGAGCTCGCGGTGTCTGACTGCAGGTCTCAGTTGTGGGGTCAAGTTATTATGTAGGCCGGATTCCTTACATTAAGTTATTATGTAGGCAGGATTCCTTACATTAAGTTATTATGTAGGTAGGATTCCTTACATTAAGTTATTATGTAGGCAGGATTCCTTACATTAAGTTATTATGTAGGTAGGATTCCTTACATTTCCCATCTCTGTCTCTCTCGAGCGGGCGGCCGACGTCCCGTGTAAGCGACCTCTTGTTCGAGTGTCGTCGTTTCTGTTGCTTTTCACCTGTCCCTCCTTGTCACTTCGTCTCTTTGAGATGCTAACGCTGCTTCTTTCTAGCCAGCTTCAGCGGGCTGGACAATTGAGACCTTACGCCCCTTGTGGGTGATGATTAACTTGAGATATCGAATAATTGAGACCTTCCGCCTCGCTGGCGATGTTAACTTTTGATCTGCATTGCGAAATAGGTTGATAGCTGACGCGCTAGCAAACCATTCTACCACTACTGTAAAGTGTCAACTGTTCATGGCGCATTATTGTGTTCAGTGCCATGGTGCAATGCACTTGAACGCTTTGAGCATAGCTCTGTTGATCCGTTGATATTTTTTCCACACTTTGTCTTAGTTGTTATTCTTCTGCACTGTGTTCGTTGTTCCATGAATTAAATTTTTTAATTTATGTCCTGCATTCATATCATTCGTGCCTGTATTTATATCATTTATACCTGCGCCCATTCATCTCATTCATGCCTCTTATGTCAAATCACTGTCAGAAATTCAAGTGCCATTCTCTCTTGTTGTGGTGGATACACGTCTATTAATTCATGTCCATTTATGACGCTTTATTCTGAATAATTTGCGTAAATAATAATTATAAAATAATTAGCGAAATCTTCTTACTCTAGCCCTCCTCCCCAGGGACGAGACGGCCACCGCCTACGTCGACGAACTCATCGACGGCTTTCCCAGGTGGGGGGTTGTACTTTTTTCTGTTATTACGGGCAGGTGCTTCACAGCTTTAGAATTATTTTCATGTTATCAGCGGTATGTTATTGTTTTATATCAACTGACTTGCAAGTTATCCCAGCGGCTTACGTGGGCTACGTCATCAAAGGGACGGAGCCCGCGGCTGACTTCGTCCCTCACGTCCGTACCCCAATCCCGCCATTTTGTCCCTAGTAAAGTTGAACTAACCGCTTCCATGCAGTCGGATATTGTAAGCTTTGAATAACCAACCAGTAATCCTGGCTTAGAATATTTGCATTGGTATCTCTTTAATCTATTGAAGTATTAGTATTGAAGTAAAACTTCAGTTCAGAATATACGTAATTTAATTCCCATTTGGCCGTAATCAACTAATTTTGGTTATATGCACCTCAAATTGTAGTGATAACTCAACCTGGTTTCTATGTTCAATTCAATGTCCAATGTTCATTAAACTCTTCCTCCTGCAGGCGAGCGACGCTCCTGGAGCTTGCCAAGGGCCGCACCCCCCAGCACAGCCTGCAACCTATGGAGCAACGGCCTGTCTTGAGGTGCGGCCTACCAAGGGGTCACTGAACCCCAGGGTTGGGGTCACTAAACCCCTGCTAAACCCTAGTGTTTGGGTCACTGAACTTCAACGGAGTTTTTCAAAATGTGTCGTCGCATTTTTGAAGAAGCGATCTTCTTAGTATTGGGAATTATATGTTTTTCAATGACTCTGTGCGCAGTGTCCAACGATGGTTGTTGAAAGCACGAACTTTTATGATATTTTTTCCAAAGTCTTTCTGGATTATTTCAAACGTTTGTTTGAAAAAAAAAAACTTTCGGAGTTCATTCTAATAACAAGGGAATGGGAATATGAGTGTGCATTTTAGCAGAGAAACATTTCAAATGTACCCATAGCGAGATTTGAATTCGTCGTGTCGAATGTCCGCTTGGAAAATTTCCTCAAAATACTAAGAACGGCTGAGTGGAGTTAGTTGTCCCCCTCTCCTTCAAATAGTTACCTACGTAAATTTGACAGATGACTCCTTAAATTATACCGCATACATACAATAGGTTCCCCTAGGTTGCCCTGGATATAACTGTTAGAAATAAGTTTCCCAGTGATTATATAATAGTTTTATAACAGTTATATCCAGGGCAACCTACCACGGGTCAAGAATATGTCTAAAATTAGCTCTCCTTGATGAATATTAATGAGGATGCTACTCTGCAATGGAAAGTTTAAACTCTTCCGCTCACATCAAGCTCCGCGTGTGCGGCAGCACCATTAACTCACTATCAGTCGTATGATGCCAGTAACTTGTTAACACCAGTGAGTGAAGTGATATTGTTGCCGATGTTGCTGTCTCTGTTTATCGCCCTAAACCATTGAACTCTACAAACGCGCATTTGACATCGATATGCTGTTAAAACCGCGGCGTTAATTCATTGAATTAAAAACTATTTTTTCTATATCGATGCAAAGTTATCACCAAGTCATGGAAAAAACTCATTAATAATTGCGTGGAGAAGACGATCACCCGAGGTTCTACCGCGCTGCTGGCTCCCTGATTCATTTACGTTGAAGAATTCTATTCTACGTAAAAATCAACCGCTATCAATGATTTTCGGACCTGAAGTCCTGATGCCGAGAGTCAGTATTGCCAGAAATGCTCACGCCTTTGTTCACGTATGGATTTACCGTCAATGCTATTCGTACTTAGTAACGAGAGTCTGCCTCAGTAGACGCACAGTTAAGGCCTTTCTTTACTCGCCCATCCACCGGCGTAAATTCTATTCATGCCTCAATGCTATTCCTACCTCAATGCTATTCCTACCTCAATGCTATTCCTACCTCAATGCTATTCCTACCTTAATGCTATTCATACCTCAGTGCTATTCCTACCTTAATGCTATTCCTACCTTAATGCTATTCCTACCTCAATGCTATTCCTACCTCAATGCTATTCATACCACAATGCTATTCCTACCTCAATGCGTAGTAGCGAGATTCCTCTTCACTAGACGAAGAGCCGATGCCGTGAGTTGACAGTTGACGGGTTTTGTTGCCGACAGATCTCGGCGCTCGGAGCTGACGTGTGGCGCGTCGCTGCCTGGCGACGCTGACAACGGCTACGACACGGCGCCTGACATCAGCAGCGACGCGGGCCCCGACAGCAGCAGCAGCGCTGACGACTCATCCATGCAGCTGGCGCGAAGCACGCCGAGGTTAGGGACTGTCAGCGCTCACATCTGAGATTATTGTGATGATAAGAGAGATCATTGTGATGAGGGTGATTAGAGAGATCATTGTGATGAGGGTGATGATGATTAAATTTGGGATTTTAAAAAAATCTATATATATATGGTGAGAGAGACGACGTTTCCTATCGTCTCATATCTTTTAAAGTTGGGTGAATCGGAGTGATCTACTCCACCAAATTTACGTTACGTTCAGGTTCAAGATACCGGTATTCATTACTTATCGTTTTGTCAGGTAGTCTGCCGAGTGGCATTTGATTTGGCACGTGAATAAGGTTCTCTTTTTGGAAGCGTTACGGCAAGGAAAATACAAAGAGAGGGTTGTAATGAAACACTGATACACTTCATATTAAATTGAGAAATTCAAGTTCACATCCTACGTTAACAAACATCTCTAGTAGGTAAATAAAAAAGGCGAGCTGAACATAATCAAAGTCCGAAATCTAACAGTTAAATCATTTACGAGATAATTCGCTGTCCACCACTACAAATATAGTGTTTTTGTGAGGTCTGACTCAGTGTGCCTCCGGGCTTTGTAGGGAGAGATGCGCATATAGTTGCTCCCATCATCCTCGAGTGGAATCAAGCTCCAGAAACGTTTAGTTTGGAATCTATGCTACATTGAGCGCATATTGTGATGCGCGCGGGACTTTGTCGCGCTCTCCTCAACATTCAGACTTATTGTCACGGAAAACCGATCTCCTCCTAGAGTTTTGAAGCTACAACAATGAGACATATATCATTCAATTTGCAAATAAACTATCTACAAAATGTTCATCCCGGTTTTTCCACTTTCATTATAGTTTGAATTTTATTCTGCAAAAAGAGGGGGGTGGCGGGGGGAAAATCGAAAAATTTCCGAACATTTTGGAAAAATGCCCCCCACTTCCACAAAAATTGGAATTTTAAAAAAAGGGGATGAACATTTTGTAGATGATGACCTCACGCATCGAATGATATGTGTCTCGATGTTGTAGCTTGGAAATCCTAGGACTAGATCCATTTCTACAGTACCCCCTTTTATAGCCGTTTTCTAAGAATTTCACGTTTTCTTTCATTTTTTTCGAAAAATTCACACGAACAAAATGCGAGTTTTTTTCTATTTTACATATGTGTACCAAGTTTCAGAGTGATCTGACTGTAAATAGCCGAGATAATTTTTAGGGTAGACGCTCCCCTTAATATTGGTTGCGTTTTTACAGGCGCTTCGAGGATTACGCGACGCTCACCCGCCCCGCCCCGCCGCCATACGCGTGAGTTACGACCTGCTATTAAGACCCTGGCTTGAATTCATAATATTATTTTAATACTTTGCCCTTTGCCCACGTTAATTTTCAGGGATTCATGTCAAACTTCCTCCATGTTTCATCGTTGGTATAGGTAGTTTGTCTTTTTCATTGCATTAATTTCGACCCAATGTTTAAATTTTTAGGCGCCTGTTTTCCGAGATTCAGAGATTTTCTTGAAAGATCAATTCGTCTCAGTCTCCTAGGTTTCTTCATTCTATCCAACAACCGAACTCCTTTAAGGAATTTTATTTTGTTCAGGAGCGGATCAACGAGCTGCGTGGACGACTGATGTTACGCCAGCGCGGACGGCAAGGAGTACAAACTTTACCTCATCTAAACCTGGACAAGGTCAACATGTCGGCTTTGTTGTGACAAAAATTCGGTGCGGATCCAAATTTTTGTTCCAATTCAAATGGTTCTGGAAACTCGAATGGTCTAATGTTTTTACGGAGGAGAGGTTTTCTCTGCTATTCTTATATGATGAAGTTATGTTTAGTATCAAGAAACTTTAATTTATTATACTGTTTTGCAGATCTCAAAGTTGTATATTTGAAGCTGGTCTCACAACAGTGCAATCGCCAGCAATGAGGCTCTAAAAAATAATGGCGCGCATCAACTTCATTAAAGCTCTGATGATTGAATTCATCACTCGTTTTCTTCTTAATTATTGGTTAGAATTTTTAAGATATGAAGTTTTGCGCAAGGCGGTGCAAAACAATTTTTTAACTATGCCACTTGGACCTCTCACTCGTTTTGGATCAAGGTGATGTCTTGAACCGAACTCGCGCCCTTATACTAGTTGCTCTTGTTAGATCCTGTAGAATTTTAATTGATAAATTGCTTCCTACTTTACCAATATCCTGTCTAGTCAATATACCGTCTAGTCAAAGTGGCACCTAGCTTTACGGCAGTATTAAGCAGCGTTACTACCATCTAGTCATCAGTTGCCAGCCACCACCTAGGCTATTACTAGTAAGATTTAGGATTTCAGTGAATAGTTGCAATGTCCCTTGTCACGCTTACCTCTCAATACTACCAGCTAGTTGCGGTAGTTAGATAGTTATGTTCTGCTTGAATTGTATAAAGTGGTTCCTAACTGTGTTCCTTTGACGCTATCTGTGTAATTTTCATTGTTATAACTATTAATGTTAGCTGTAGTCTTTTTGTCCATACTTGTTTGCTTCACTTAACATTCATCTGCCTCTGAGTAATGTTGTTATAGCTTAGCCAGTCTTCAGAAAATTCTCATTAGATCTAAAATTCTGATCTTCTTAAGACTTGGCAATTAATGATTGCTGTCGTGGCGCTGACTCGACAGTTAGTTTATCTGTTGTGTACGTAGCATAGACGTTCGGTATTGAGATGTTATCCACTGCAGCTAATTCATCCTGTTGTTAAGCTTGATAATCTCAGGAATGAGAGCAAATCGTTCCAATATTATATGGGTATGGCTTATATCTCAAATGAATTTCAATTCATGGACACTTAGGATGTTGTTGCCCTACAATTGAACAGCGCTTTGGATTTTTGGATCCACATGGATATAGAAAAAATACTTCGTCTGACATGTTAACGCCGCTGCTTGTTGATCTTTCGATTATTATCCGTTTAGGGCAGAAGAAAGAATTTTGATATGCTCTTTCTTTATCCTGAATAAATTACTAAAATTTGCCACAGTAGGTCTGCTACTTATGTCGATGGTTATTGGATTTCATCTAATGGAACTGCGAAGGATATTTTAGCGGCTAAGTAGACCGTGGCATCGTTGCTTGGTCACAAAGAATCACAAGTGATAGGTCACACGAGTTCACGTGAAAAATTAAGTTGTGCCCCAGCGATATTTATTAATTTTTTGACGATTTTTGCCAAGAACATGTTAAAGTTAGTCTAAATTTCATTGAGGAAACTAAATTTAAGCACAAACTTCTGACGCGTGTCTGTGCGCGTCAGAAGTCCTATGGGATTCCACGCTCCTAGGGGGATTGTTCCTGAGCGCCCTACCGCTGAGCTCGCGGTGTCTGACTGCAGATCTCAGTTGTGGGGGTTAAGTTATTATGTAGTAGGTAGGATACATTACATTAAGTTATTATGTAGGCAGGATTCCTTACATTTCCCTTCTCTGTCTCTCTCGTGTGGGTGGCCGACGTCCCGTGTAAGCGACCTCTTGTTCGAGTGTCTTCGTTTCTGTTGCTTTTCACCTGTCCCTCCTTGTTGACACTTCGTCTCTTTGGGATGCTAACGCTGCTTCTTTCGAGCCAGCTTCAGCAGGCTGGACATCTGAGACCTTCCACCCCTTGTGGGTGATGACCTATTTTTGATTCGAGAAACTTTTGATAATTGAGACCTTCCACCTCTTTGGTGATGTTCAACATGACTTTCGGTGCGAGATAGCTAAATAGCTGAAGCGCTAGTAAACATGTGGCCACTCAACTAACTAACTAACTACATATTTTAAATGTATTAATGTCGACCATCATGTTCAAAACTTTCTGTATACACGATTGCCGCATGTGAGATGTTACTGGAGGCGTTTTGGTTTAGTAGATTTTAGTTGCAGGCGTTCTCAACGTAACATGAAGCTGAGACTTAATATGAGTAATAGGTGATACATTTAACCTTGAGTAAATCATACATGAAACCTTAAGATTTATTAACCACGGAATATTGTTTAGGCGTAATATACGACGTCGTGGATGAACCCACTTTTACTTTAATCCTTTATCCAATGATTCAAGTTGGAGCACATAAGCTCCAAGTTAAGAATGGACGCATGGTGAATGGACGCATGACGAAAAATTACTGAAAATTTACACTAATAAATTCGATGAAAACGTGCGTTTCGACCCTAAAATTACTCATTAAATAATTTTTTGTTACATCTCGTTTTTTTACAGCACGTTTGCTTGCATTTTTTTATCAATTACACTATACTCAGCTTCTCTGGCTAAAATAATTGACTGGAAGTTGGTGAAGTTATTTTAGTTGACCTGAACAATGTTAAATTATGGTGTTGCAAAAAAATTAGGTTAATTGATAGCTGAATTAAATGGTCTCTAAAATTTTGGAAAGTAGCGACTTTCCAGCCTTTCATAGTTTCATTCCCCGCGGATCGTTTCTGAAAAATCCGAGAGGGGCCCTACGCCCCGATGCCTACGCACACAATTTTGTTACAGCAAGAATACCAGAGAGTGCATTTAGCCTTTGACGAATTAAGACGTGCTGAAAATTTCGTTTTTTAAAATAAGTGCGTGTGTCATGGCTGATGGCTGCACCAGTCCAGTGGGCAGAATTGACCGATCTCATAGATCCTGGCGGCTGGCAGTCTGGCACCATTCCCAAAAACACTTCTCAAAGTCATGGGTTAAGCGGCCCTAGCCCGGCTCCTCCTCTCCCTCATTCTCCATCATGACTCCATGCACTCTTCAGATATTGCTCCTACTCTCAGACCTCAGTCATAGCAGCAGTCACACTCACCCCTGCCAACTGCCTGACAGGCCCACTACCTATCAAATCATCATAGTCCATTTGTCTCCCATTTGCGCAGCAGAGTGGAAATCTAAGATTAGAGGTTCACTTAAAAAAAAGCGTTCCGCCTCAAAAAAAAACGTTCCAGGCAAGTGGCAACTAGAAACAGGTTTGCAGGTTGTCAGAAATCGGCCTCGGCATGAACGTTACGTCAAGCAACAGAGAAAATCCCAATATTGTTAATTGTGCGCGTCACTCATGGATAAGCAAGAGGAATCTACTGAAAGAAGAGTACACATTGTGCTCAGTAGAAATTACAAGGTCGCTACTGACTACTGAGCTAGTATGGAATGTATCTACTTGGCGAGCCGCGACTGAATTTTTCGAGCCGTGGTTTTATGGATTTGCCAGCCGTGATTCCATTTCTATGAGCCGTGATTCTATTTCACCGAGCCGTGAATTCCATATCTCGGCCATGAAAAGCCATTTACGAGGTGCGAATGCGAATTTATTTACAAAGTTGCGGAAGTTGAAAATTTTATGAAATGACATGTTTGCGAAGTGCAAACCGCGATTTTTTAATCAAACAAAAATTTATGACATTCGAGCCGCGAGATTTCATACCTACTGAAATTATATGATATTAGAGCCGCGATATTTCAGACAAAAATAGGACTTTTCCAGACTAGCTACTGAGTAAGCGCAGACATCACACTGCACACATAACACATTCACACCATCACCCTCAGACCTCAGTGAGTCCCTCACCCTTCTCATCCTGCATCACTCTCATCATTTCCAGTCTCTCCCTCCCATATTGGAAGGGAGAGACTGGAAATGTTGAGAGCATATATATTGCACTCCAACATCACACCGAGTCACATTTTACCTCTCCTCAAAACTCAAACATAAAACAAATCTCACCACTTCTTTCATTCCACCTGTATATGAATATCTGTGCATTTACACTCAAAGCATTCGCTCTCATGCAGAACATTTGATCCCCACAGGCCACAGCCCAGTGAGCCCACCTCCACTGCCATCATATATGTGCTCATTCTTTGGCATCTCTTACGTCTTGTACAATCTCATTCTCAGCCTCTCAGGCTGCAGAAAGTGTATGGTCACAAAGACTAATTTCATTGTTCCATAATGTGTCACTGTCACTGTCTGTCAGGAGCATCAACCTAATCTGGTAGAGTTCTGATTCTGCTGCTTTACTTTCTCTTTCTGGCAGATATCAGGCTAGTGCTAATAGGTTCTTTTGTTACCACAAGTTTTTATTGTCATTAAAAAAGAGCCTCATCATGAATATACTGCCAAAGAAACGGTAAGCACATTTGATTGTCAATGATTCAATCTTTCATCCACTTAAATGACTCAATCATAGACATGGATGTAGATTTTAAGTGAACATATATGCTATTTTGCCAGCAAAAGAGTTAAAGTTTAGTTTTCAAAATTTATTCATTTATGGCCCATCAAAAATGTTTAAAGAAGGTGTTAGAAGGAAATGATACAATAGTACTATTATTCTTTTTTTTAGTTCTTCTGCATTCCAATGTGCACATGCATAGGCTGCAGAGCTAATTTCAGCTAAACACTTATTTCTTTATGTGATAGTCAAATCAAACTCTATTTCATATCTAGACCATTGATATGACTACCTGTTACTGTATTTTTAATGCTGTAGGTTAAACTGAAATCAATTTTTGATACTGTTGTTTTATTATGTGATAGTCTAATCAAACTCTATTTCATAGCTAGACCATTGATATGACTATCGTATTTTTAATGCTGTAGGTTGAATTGAAATCAATTTTTAATGGTACTGTTGTTTTATTATGTGATAGTCAAATCAAATTCTATTTCATAGCTAGACCATTGATATGACTACTGTATTTTTAATGCTGTAAGTTGAATTGAAATTAATTTTTGATATTGGTGAGGTTAAGAGCTTTAATTGAGAACAAATAACCCATTAAGGAACTTGAAATCTTGAATGCATGGCTAACTTAATTACCGTTGTATGAATCATACATCAGTCATCAGATTGAATTGCTAACATCATGACTGCATTATTAATTGATTGAAAATAAAAATTGTCTGCTGATGTTATCAACATTTTGATTTCATCCGACCAAGTACGAATGCCCAGTCCTTAACTGAATCTTGCCACTGGGCTTCACTTAATTTTAAAAAATGCACCAACATACACCTATGGTTGGAAGCTCATAAGCTCTCATACCAGATAGTATGTGCTTCTTGCATTTGTTTACATTTTTAAATTGGCACATGCAGAAGTAATAATTTAAAATGTTTGAGAATTGTATTTTCTTGTGAAAAACTCAGTCATCAGAAACAATTTGTTAAAATTGTGTTATTGCATTATTTGTAAACCACCTAGTATTCATGTGTAAATTCATAATTAATTTTTAGGTGGCATGTTCGAACCAAGGACAACATTGCAAGAGTGAGGCGAGATGAAGCTCAAGCTGCTGAAGAAGAGAAAGAACGGGAAAGGCGTGCAAAACTTGCAGTAAGACTTTATATCAGTTCAATATTTTGTAATTTGCAAATTGTTCTGTTTCTTATACTGAAGACTTGTAAATTTTCAGCATTCAATTACATACAATTTAAGTTGCTTCTCCAAGTTCCTCTTTTTTAATCTCAGTACCTATTTTGCTTGCTGCAAATATGTCTGTAAAAGTGGAAGAAAAGTAAAACTAAAAGCAAGTCAAGTTGAGAGTATTTATGGTCTTTGCTTGCAACTTTAAGTTCAGTACACTCTCAATAAATATTACCTTGTCTCACACCAGCTGTTGCAAATGTTAATATCAGATGGATGAACACTGTTGTACACTACAGCTGCACCTAAAAATTTGTTGATGCTAAAGGTGCAATGTACAGTAAATATGAAGTTAAAATTATGTTCTCTAAATAACCTGTCATGCATTCAGCTAGAATAATTTCAACATTGTAAATTCTCTCTGGTTCTATAGCATGATTTCATTCTTGTGGAACTTGTCCTCCATGCCTTGGAAAAGTTTTCATTACCAAGTTTTATGACAAATAAAACCTTTCCCTCTGATTCTGGAATGCTCTTTTTCCTAAAAGCATAAAATTTTACTTGGACATCATGTGTTTTGCCTTCACATTTGATACTACATTTTAGGTTTATTCATCTTACTTTACTGTCCATAATTTGTTCTTTAATCTCCCATTATTCCAACTTTTCTTCCTTTGTATATCATAATGAAGTTAGTTTGGTTCTCAGTTGTGCCAGTGCATATATATATAGTTCCATTTTTAATTTTTCAACCTTACCCAAGACCGCCTTCACTGAGAGATCTTGTATTTTTGTGACTTCAATGATCAAAATATTACTTGTGGTTTATTTTGCATAGTGCATAATTTTATATTTATTGAACCTAAACTGCTGTTGTAGAAGTCCAAACTATTCTTATTCATTATCAGTACAATTCACGACATCACTAGTGTAGTCATTTCTTTGCTGTAGTAATTGACAGATGCCTCGCTCGTGTTCTAAGGTTGTCTTCTCTACTAATAACGTCATTGAATTTTCCAGGAACAAGAAGCCCGAACTGCGCTACTACGAAGCCGAGCTCGTGGGGCAAGCGGTGGCGGTGATGTGTCTCTTCCTCAGATCAACTTTGTGGGACCTGGCAAGCCTAACGCAGCGCATGACGAGAGACGAGCCAACGACGAGAAGAAACCGTGCAATGATTCCTTGGACTCCTTCAGTTTGGAAATCAGCAAGCCGTCGGCTGACATTTATACAGAATCTGGCAACATTAATTTCTTCAAGGACCTTGAAAACGGAGTTGAATCCACTAACGGCCTCACAAATAAAGAACACGAGGCCGAAGAGAAAGCTGAAAAAGAGAAGTACGAGAAGCAAATAGGCTTGCTCACGTACCTGGGTCAGGACTCTCTGGAAGCATCCAAGAGCAAGGAGTGGTACCACGATGCAGGTCGCTGCATTTCATCCCTCTGGACCCGCAGGGACGTCACCGAGAAGTGTTCGGTGCAGTCGAGCGCCGACGACGGTGATGCGGACGCGGAAGTTGGACTGAAGTACAAAACCTCTCAGGATCCTCTCAATGATATGATCAAGTATGCTGGCTGGAAACGTACTAAATCCAGTGTGCAGCCCGAGGGCTTCGTGCAATTTGGAGTTGATAGCAGTGCACAAATGTCCAATGACCTATCCGCGACTCTTTCTGTAAGAAAGCATAAAAAGAAATTGAAAAAACATAAGGAGAGACGGAAAAAAGACAGAAAAATTACTGATAACTGCAAAATCAATTCTAAGAAAAGAAAAAATGAATCCTCAAAAAGCTCAAAGTCAAAAAAATCTTGTTCGTTAAAGAAAAAGCATAAAAAATCGAAGGAGTCTCATCCTCATTCCAGTAGTTCATCTTCGTCAGACTCAGAAGATGATCCTGAAGAGCGTGAGCAACAGAGAAAAAAACTAGCAAAACTCCGAGAAGAAAGACTGGCAAGAGAAGCAGTCGAGCGGCAGCGCGAGAAGCGACTGCTGGCGGGGCTGGACCCTGACGCGCCCGAACGCGTCGTCGAGACCCCAGCGGTAAGACAGAAGTACAGTTCTCAGTTCAACCCGCTGCTGGCGAGGCAGAACAAAGGCCTTCAGTCGGGCGTGAAGTACTTCTGAAAATCATCGTATAACTTTCAGCCATCTGCAACATGAATTTATGGCTTGGTTACTATTACCGGAGTTCAATGCGGCAATATAACAAATGCTATGATACAAAGCGTTTATAGCAAATCGGATATTCGTTTGATGAAGCGAAAATTCTTTGCCTCTCTTATTAATATATTGACTGACCAACAATGTTTGATTCTTTAAATTGCCGTTATTTCTTCACAAGCCAGTCGCTGTGAAACGTAACACACACCAAGACGACCCAAAGCCTTGAGCTATTCTGCTTGTGCACAGTGCAGAAGCTTGCAAGAAAGAATCAAGCAACTCAACTCTTAAAGCCATGAACGTAAACGCTGAAGTCGTTGAAAGTTAACCAAGAAGGATCTAGCCTGCTGGAATCGACGGCCGGTTGCGGAGAGGCAGGCGAGTGAAGCACGTGGAAGTTGCTTATCATTACTCAACTGGAGCACATAACTGTGACACGACCTGAAGTGGGGGCGCGGACCCCTGCTCTTTGAAACGTGAATCACATGGGCCTTGAGTGTAGAAATTTGCTTCAGGATCTGAGAAATAAACGATAGACTGAAGTTCTCTTTAATCGTAAAATGTTCTGCAAAGCTAATGAGAACACTACAAGCTGAACTAATATCTCGAGGGCGCAGTGCTTACCATCTCGTCCAATGAACGACGCGGTCCTAACAGACAGAGGAGGACCAGTTTCAACAACCACGTTGGCTACGAAGCAGATATGTAATTTAGTTATATTATGGATGAAACGAAAAATTTCCGAGGTTAGAATTTTATTTTAATAAACGTATAACATTTCAAACACATCATTTAACGTACATTTATTTTTAATACCTGCATATTAGAGATGGTTCGTTGGAACAATTGTGAGTCGACAACGTTAGGCACTTAAGTTTTAAAATCATGCAAACCTTACATTAATGTTGCCTGCAGCTTGGCTATCCATGAGATGATGACTGAACACACATCTGAATACCTCAATTTTTATTATGGACATAAAGCACAAACCGTGAGGCTTAGCCAAGCTTGAGGCCACCTGTTTCATGGCGAATTACCAATAAACATTCGGTCAAGAATGGGAACGAGAAAGAAAGTTCAGTGAACAAATTTTTTTTTAATAAAAAAACACAAGTCTCGCCAAGAGTCTGATTGGACTCGCAATTGAAGAAAATTTCATTTGAAGAAGCTCAACTCCCAAGGAGCGAAGTACATTAAGTAGCTACTCGAGCGGTCATGTTCAGAACATTCGTTAACTATTAAGCAAGCGCCTGCTGCCCTTCATAAAATGAGCACAAATTACGAAGTTCGTATTATACCAAAAAGATCCGAAAACATCAAAGTCCGATAAATCTTATTAAATTTATCTAAAAGCTGGGACCAATTATAAGACGAATGTCTCAAATTTTCGATAAAAATGACAGACAATAAACTTTTACGGCACATCATTGTCACTTTGTGAGAAGCTATCTGATGATGTCTTAATGTATGAAATACTGGATGATAACAATGACGTTAGATTCTATTAAACGCGTTCAGCTGGAGGAAAAATCTGCACAGTTTGCAATTAAACCGAAGCCATCAACAATATAAATAATTGTCAGAAATTATTGCACACAGAACAATCACTTAACCACTAGGCCAAGAATGGACAATTCGGTTCGATAAACGAGCATATTCTATACTAAGCTTGAAGCCGCTTAGGAAACATGAAAGGACAGCACAAAGAGGAAGCAGAAATACGAAACTGGAACTACGTCTTGAAGTTCGGCAGTTTCGAACGGGAACCGGAAGAGCTTAGTTGCTGGCTGTGACAAGGTATGTCGAATAGAACACCAAAACCAGTCTTTTAGAGAAGAAGCATTCAGAATGCGGGAGACTCACCTCGACCTCGATCATGAAGACCATGCTAGGGTGAGGTGGCGGCTTTACTTTGTGCTCCAAAGTGTTGTTACTCCGATCTAGAAATTGTAGTAACATGGAAAACCGGAATTGATTATTCCAAATAGATTCCTCTCAGGAAGAAAACGATAGTGCGAGTGCGATAATAAAGAAAGTAGTTATACAGCATTCACGACAAGAACACTTCACTGAGAACACAACACTTAGGATCAGTTAAGCTAAGCCTTAAATGCAGTCGGGAAGAACTTACATGGCACGAGTTAAGAAGGCACACGATGTGAGAATATAGAGTACTAAGTACAAAATTGATATTCTTTAAGCATCAAAAAACATGTTAGGTCTATTTCTTTCCCAAAAAAACGAGTTATTAGGAGATGAACTTGACTGCCGTTTTCGCAAAAAAAAAAAATTTAATAAAATGAAATAAGTCAACAAAAGGAATTTCTTAATTTGTCCATTCGCCGAGTTTCCTGAAGTGAGAATTGTATACCACTTAGAAACGAATACTATGCAGGCCGCTTGGAAGTCAAAATTAAATCTGATTTACAAACATCGCCTGGATTCCCCAACATTACTTTGTGACCAGTTGTCACCACAGCAGCGAAATGTACTTTAAGAAAACCTATTTTAGCATTTCCAGTTATTCAAGCAAATGATTTTGATCAATACTGGCGTTATTTGCTATCGACTTGACAACAACAGCGCACGAGGCAAAAAATAACAACACTGAACAAGAATCCAAGCAAATAATGGACAATTGTGAGTGGTTCGAACGAACAATACTGGCATTACCATCGTGAACATCTCAGTTCGCATCATTACCTAAGAGAACGCAGGTTAAGGCCGACATACGTTTTGTATATATAAATTATTTGAATCTAAACTTCTGTAGCATGCAGATTGAGTAATAGAGATATTTACATGAATATTTTTAAATGTACATTAATTGAAATATGATCGAACAATAATAGGCTGATTGTAAGAACGTAAAGTTGGAGAACACGCATGACACTTTAAGATCAACACAAGCGCGGACACGGGAGTTGTTTCAAATTACAAGACTCGAGGTAGCAGGAGATTAAATAATTATTACAAATATCTAGAATTTAGCTTCTCATTGAGGATTTCACAACAATGCTTAACTACTCACCGATGGTAAGAAGGCAACAAGCCTGACCGAAGTAATTGAAAAGTTGGTCTGAATGTCCGGTAGTTATAACACGAAACAAAAATGCCATGTTAGTCAAGCATCATTTTCTTGAGAGCTCAGAGCGATCTATGTTAATTATTAATTAAAAACGACAGAAAGATACTCTTCTTGAAGGCCACATCACAACCAAACATACGCGTTGTGGCGGCAGAGTTCCTTGTATAAAAGCCGGGTGGAAATTCACGGACAAACACCTGAGTTTGTTGCATGATAGGCCGCGTTTCGCTACAGAAACAAGTGTCATTGAATTCCTCTAGAGTTAGCAGGCGTTAGGGGCGTGTTCCGTGGCTGGTGTGTCGTCAGGAAGGTTCAGTTAGCAGGAACTTTGCCACCACGAGCTTGTATGTCGTGCTGGCGTTTAAGTCGCTTCTTGAGCTCCTGAGGTAGCTTCTCGTAGCACTTCTTGCAGATCTGCTCAGCGTAGAGGCAGTCATCAAAACTCTTATATCACACATAGTCCAAAACCGAAGTAAGCAAATTAATCTTCTTCACTCAAGGGTTCACGTTACCAAGAACAAATATATAATTAAAGGAAAATTATTTCTGTGACTCGTCCAGCAGCAGATACACTGTTAGCTTAGAGTATTAACATCCAATTCGAATTTAAAATCGAACAATCAATAGCATTTGCAGTAACTCTGGCGCCAAGAACACGACGTGCCAAGATGCTAACTTGAATCATTGGGTAAGAATTGTTCCATAGTCAATCTTCTTAACAGCAACCCTGAACTATTGCAGCACTAAACTGTCACCGGACAGTTCAGTGCTGCAACTATCACTAAAATGCGGAAAAAAACAAGGCCATAATACACACACAACACGGACTGTCCGAACTTACAGGCTTCTGATCGAACTCGAAGAATTTGGTCTTCTGAGTCATCTTGACGTCGCAGTGCGTGCAGGCGAAGTGGTGTACACACCAGGCTTTATTTAACGCAGTCACAACTGAAAAACATCATTTGTTATGATCTCGAGTATTTCAAATTTGTTTTTATCCTAATGGAAAAGTGACAAGGCAGAACTGTTTGTGACTGAGAAAATATCTCTGAAATATCTTGAATTCCGATGCAATGTAATTCAATTTAAATACTTAAGCCTGCAAATATAATTGGCAGCAATAAATCATAAAAATATTACTATTATTACTAATACTATAACACATCAATAAATAATGTTAGTATAAGCAAACATCCATTACAGCCACACATGTCAACGCCTGACTTAAAACTGAGCCTTGTAATAATTTACCACTCGGAATCTTTTATGAACACAGGTGAAAAATTATGGGTCTCGGCCAAAATAGTGCAGGCCGAAAAATTCTATAAATTATTATGCATTTTTACATAAAAATAATTCACTTGCAATGAGTTGCGTGCTTGTCATTAATGTTTAATTCATTTAGTTGCTGTCGCCGTGTATCTCTCGCACATCTGGGTTAACGTAGTGGACTGCCTCGATCAAATAATCGGTCGTGACATATTCAATGACTCCTAATGGTGAAACATAAACGAAACATTCACCAAGACGAACCAAATGATCAAACAGTCTCATTATCACCGTCATGACCTTGCCGCAGACGAAGCAAAGGGTAATGAGGTAACTAATCTCACCGTCGCCGTAGATGACCTGATTACAGACGAAGCAAAGTGTAATGGGGTAAAGAATCTCACCGTCACCGTAGATGACCTGATTACAGACGAAGCAAAGGGTAATGAGGTAAGTGATCTCACCGTCGCCGTAGATGACCTGGTTGCAGGCGAAGCAAAGGGTAATGAGGTAAGTGATCTCACCGTCGCCGTAGATGACCTGGTTGCAGGCGAAGCAAAGGCTAATGAGGTAAGTGATCTCACCGTCGCCGTAGATGACCTGGTTGCAAACGAAGCAGAGGTTCCCGAAGAGCTCATGGTAGTGCGTCTCGCAATAGGCCTGCCCCTTCTTCTCGTAGTGGCGGTTGCCAAAGAAAGGCTTCTCGCACTTCATGCACACGAAGTGCTCGACGTGCCAGTGCTTCCCCAGCGCCGTCACCACGCGCTCCTCGATGGGGCGGCGACACGCCCCGCAGATGGGGATGCCCATCTTGTCGTGGCACCGCAGGCAGTACAGCTGGTTCTGAGGGGCAGAGAGAGGGGTTAGTGCAGCTGGTTCAGGGACAGTGGGGGGGGGACGTTTTTGCAGCTGGTGACAGGGTCAGAGAGGCGTTAGTGCAGCTGGCGACGGAGGACAAGGGGGGCATTAGTGCAGCTGGCGACGGAGGACAAGGGGGGCGGAAGTGCAGCTGGTGACGGAGGGCAAGGGGGGCGGAAGTGCAGCTGGCGACGGAGCGCAAGGGGGGCGGAAGTGCAGCTGGCGACGGAGCGCAAGGGGGGCGGAAGTGCAGCTGATTGTGGTGGACATGTGCCTATTGAGGCTCTACGCCTTCAGCGTGGCGTTGCAGGGCAGGACACAGATGGTTATTAGTGTACCCAGCAGCTGGAGTGCAGGATACAACAGATGGTAAGCCCGCCCCTTGAAGGCTCGGACACGAAGGATGTCATAAATGGCGCACCAGCGTTCCTGTGGACTAAGAAGTCATATAATCGACTTAAGAACAGAATACTAACCAGCTGGTTGGCGGTGTAGCCTGGTCTGCTCTTGACCTCCCTGGCCTGGTGGGTCAGTTCCACCTGGCAGTTGGCGCAGTTGAAGTGGTACGCGTGATACGTGTCACCCCGCCAGCGCAGCGGCTCTCCGTCGATCACGGAACTGTAACAAGGCGGCATTTTGCTGGCGCACAACATCGTCATTTTGCTGGCGCACAACATCGTCATTTTGCTGGCGCACAACATCGTCATTTTGCTGGCGCACAACATCGTCATTTTGCTGGCACACAACATCGTCATTTTGAAGGCACACAACATCGTCATTTTGAAGGCACACAACATCGTCATTTTGAAGGCACACAACATCGTCATTTTGAAGGCACACAACATCGTCATTTTGAAGGCACACAACATCGTCATTTTGAAGGCACACAACATCGTCATTTTGAAGGCACACAACATCGTCATTTTGAAGGCACACAACATCGTCATTTTGAAGGCACACAACATCGTCATTTTGCTGGCACACAACATCGTCATTTTGCTGGCACACAACATCGTCATTTTGCTGGAACACAACATCGACATTTTGCTGGTACACAACATCGACATTTTGCTAGCACACAACATCGTCATCACAACATCGTCATTTTGCTGGTACACAACATCGTCAAATAACAGGCACACAACATGTTCAAATAATTTATTTTTGAAATGGTAGTACAGGGAATGTTTACAACTTGAAAGAACTATAATTAACGGGATTTTTCTGTTGAAGAACTATATGCGATTTTTCAGAGTTGGAAATGATTTAAATGCAACCCAGTATGATACACATGAGAACGCGTGAAAATTGTCGGCATGCACATGACATCACTCGTGAACAATTCAGATTCTGATGACTTAGATGATTATTTATCGAGCACACTTTAGTGCAATGCTCAGAGGAAAGTGTAACTCTCTGGTCACAAACAAGTTTCGACTCAATTATCCTGACAAATGCTAGCTTATTCCATCCGTTGAAACTTGGAATATATTATTTCGACTTTATAAATAAGTACGTGCTTATAATAAAATCAATTCCCCTTGACACATACGACACAACGGCCGTACAATTTTGTCCTGCCTGTAGTGTGTGAACTAGAAATCTGATAGCTTTGAGATCTCATTTCCTAGTTGACTTATGAGTCTTTACTAAGATACTAAGATTAGAAGAAGGAACCAGGAGGATTTTCATAAACAACCTTCGACTACTGCAGCCAACTCTCGTCACCAGGCATACAGGTTAGAATAGCATTGCTCACGGTCAATCTACCCGAAAACAGATGGATTACTGAAAGTAAGTCATTTGAACAGGCATTCTGGTACAAATAACATTCACGGCAAGCAATGCACATTGGAACACAATTAACACTCCTACTCAGGAGAACCAAGAATGTCTGCACAAAATACCGTGCATTCAGCATTGAACAAAGCAAGACGCACTGGCACTTGTAGCCCATCTGTCACTCACTGGCACTTGTGGCACTCACTGGCACTTGTGGCACTTACTGGCAGTTGTGGCACTCACTGGCAGTTGTGGCACTCACTGGCAGTTGTGGCACTCACTGGCACTGGTGTCACTCACTGGCGCTGGTGGCACTCACTGGCACTTGTCGCACTCACTGGCACTTGTCGCACTCACTGGCACTTGTGTCACTCTGCACTCACTGGCACTTGTGGCACTTGCGTCACTCACTGGCACATGCGTCACTCACTGGCATATGCGTCACTCACTGGCACATACGGCACTCACTGGCACTTGTGGCACATGTGCTTGTTGAGACTCTGCGCCTTGAGCCTGGCGTTGCAGTCGTGGCACACAGCTCGCCCCATGTAGCGGATGAAGCCGAGGTCAGCGAGCTCCTTCTCGCACTCGTTGCAGCGGAAGCATTGCGGGTGCCAGTTGCTGTTCATCGCCTTGATCACCCGGCCAATGATGAACTCGCCTGCAACCATCAGCACAGAATAAAGACTCGCCTGCAACCATCAGCANGCTCGCACTCACCGCAGCTGCCGCAGCACGGCGCGAACAGCACCTGGAAGTCGTGCTCGCACTCACCGCAGCTGCCGCAGCACGGCGCGAACAGCACCTGGAAGTCGTGCTCGCACTCACCGCAGCTGCCGCAGCACGGCGCGAACAGCACCTGGAAGTCGTGCTCGCACTCACCGCAGCTGCCGCAGCACGGCGCGAACAGCACCTGGAAGTCGTGCTCGCACTCACCGCAGCTGCCGCAGCACGGCGCGAACAGCACCTGGAAGTCGTGCTCGCACTCACCGCAGCTGCCGCAGCACGGCGCGAACAGCACCTGGAAGTCGTGCTCGCACTCACCGCAGCTGCCGCAGCACGGCGCGAACAGCACCTGGAAGTCGTGCTCGCACTCACCGCAGCTGCCGCAGCACGGCGCGAACAGCACCTGGAAGTCGTGCTCGCACTCACCGCAGCTGCCGCAGCACGGCGCGAACAGCACCTGGAAGTCGTGCTCGCACTCACCGCAGCTGCCGCAGCACGGCGCGAACAGCACCTGGAAGTCGTGCTCGCACTCACCGCAGCTGCCGCAGCACGGCGCGAACAGCACCTGGAAGTCGTGCTCGCACTCACCGCAGCTGCCGCAGCACGGCGCGAACAGCACCTGGAAGTCGTGCTCGCACTCACCGCAGCTGCCGCAGCACGGCGCGAACAGCACCTGGAAGTCGTGCTCGCACTCACCGCAGCTGCCGCAGCACGGCGCGAACAGCACCTGGAAGTCGTGCTCGCACTCACCGCAGCTGCCGCAGCACGGCGCGAACAGCACCTGGAAGTCGTGCTCGCACTCACCGCAGCTGCCGCAGCACGGCGCGAACAGCACCTGGAAGTCGTGCTCGCACTCACCGCAGCTGCCGCAGCACGGCGCGAACAGCACCTGGAAGTCGTGCTCGCAGTATCGCCGCCCCTCAAACTCGTAGAAGATGTCGTCAGGGAACGACCGGAAGCACTGTGCGCACCTGCAAAGACAACATTTAACTCATCCACCAGGGGCCATACTTTCAAAATTCGCTAAGTGAACGTCAGTACTTACGCTGTTTTCTTGTCTATGATTGGTGGATTTTGCTTGAAAGGCCGTCAGTGATTGGCTGATGAACTTACGATCTCTTCGATACAACTAGGTATATTTTCTATATATATGACTGAACATATAAACTGTTTATTTTTGTGTACCTATATATATTCGGTGATGACTGCATCACACTCTTCTTTAGTGGGGCTACATTAGACGAGTATACACTTGGTATGATTACACCGAAATTAAATTATTATCTTAGATTAAATTAATTATTTAAATTATTAAATAAACTATTTATTTAAAAATTATTAAAATAGGTACATAAATAATTGAATTATTATTTGTAACAATAAATAACTTGCAGACAAGACTTACACGAAGCACTGCGTGTGCCACAGCTGGCCGTTGGCATTAACGATCTTCTCCTGAGGCTGGAAGCCGTCGCTGCAGCGCGTACACACCATCGACTCCAGCGACATCCTGTGTGCCACAGCAGACATCAGCACACTCACAGCAATAACAGGTTTAAATGGTTTAATTTAGAGTTATATGGACTTAATAACATTGGATATGGCTTTGTACTATGTTAAAGTGGCTTAGTCCAGAGGTAGAGTATATTAATAACTTGTTAAATTCCCCTATGTATAACAGTATAAGTTAAAATTGCATAAAAACAAGTTAAAACAGCTAACCACTTGAGATAGTTCAAACAAACACGAAATTGTCAGTCCTTACCAAGTTAAACCCGAGCAATCTTGCGTTTCTAAGGACATATCTCGATGCAGAAATACATGCAAGTGCTAAAGGCAAATCTTCCGACAAATCTTAGGTTCTCATGACCAATCTCTCGAAAAATCATAATGTGCTCATGACAAATCTCCCAACAAATCAAGGTGATCATGACAAATCTCTCGATAAATCTCAAGGTTATCGATGCCGTTAGTGAAATTATTGCTGCGATCTGTTTCTCTTCTCAGGAACAAAATTTGTGAATTTCATTAGAAGAATATGTAGGGACACTATTTATCTCTGTAATCAGTTTTATTAATTTTCTAAAATATTTGATTTTTTCGCAAACCATCCGAGCTACTTAAAGATTGACATTTTGTTTCTTCGTAGATTCAGTTATCCATAGGATCATAACAGCCTGATCCGCCAATGTTTGGGGTGCAACTTCCATACTTTACAAAATACACTTAAAACACTATCCTCGGTAAATTCGTATTATAATCCCCATTCTAAGTTCTTGAATTGTAGCGGTTTCGTAACTAACCGATCCGCTATAAATAAATAAAATAATTCAGACTGAGGGCACTGCCATCAGTAGACGGAAGGGTCACGATGACGCACACATGAGCAAAAAGTAATCACTATTTTGATAGATTTCAACACATTTATTTGAGTGCTGATTCATATTGAAAGACAAAAATTTCACTGCAATTGCAACATTCCCCTTTTGAGTGCATCGAGTTCTAAAAGCTTCGGGATCTCTCACTTGTTTCAATACAATGGCGCAGGAGAGAGAACGCTTCATAGCTCCTTTATTATGTCACAAGCAAAAACTTGGTTACGTCGAAAAGTTGAACATCAACAACATTTCAAGATGTTGTTGTGGGGATTGTGATCAAATTAGTATTGCCCCAACAGAGATCTGGGGTTGAATCAACATTGAATTTACTTTGTTTCAACGTCCGATATCTGGAGGGAATTATTTATAAACGAAGTCTGTTTGATGAAACTCGCATTGGATATTCATAGCATGAAAGCTTAGACCAGCGGAGCCTCCACAATTAAGGCAATTTAACTACGATTCAAATTGTTGAAGAAGCACAGTATAGAACAGTACGATGCACGATGAACAGTACCGAAATAGGCAACTAGATACACTTTAAAATTAATTTAATATGTAAGTAAAAGGCATCAAACCGTTTACTAGTTGGCAAAGATCAAGTTAGCATACGAGTCATGAGCTTCGTATGATTGATTCAACGAAATACAAGATTTTAGAAAGAATATTGCAAATAATGTCTGATCCCCTGAAAAGGTCTTGAAACGAGCGCAATAAGCGTGAGTGACCATCAACGTTTGAAGATCGCGGGATATATTTCTGATAGGAAAGATTTACCATTCCAAATTGTTCTTTTCGTGCTCTGATCTTCTTGAATCATAATGCGAAGAAACAAAAAATATATATATCCAATTTTATAGTCCCCTAAAACATAACCTGCCGCTTTCACGGTTCAAAAGGTGCGTTTCTTTTAACATTTACATGCAAATTAATATCTGGCCACAGAGACAAACGCTACAAATGTAGTGATGGAATGTAAACTTCGCTTGAAATTCAAACTCGTATATCGCGAGAAACAAGCTAGATAAGGTCGCACACCGATTCAAATCACCGAATAATTCGGAAACGGGACATGCTTGTTACGCGAAAAAATTGGAAGAATCAGAATTACCAGTCGCTCAGTTCATTTAGATCTTCCATATACTTTCGTGAGTAATCGAACACGATAAAAAAAGTTTACCACATTCTTTAAGTGTGTCTACCACATGGACAGAAACTTGTTCTCACAAAGCATATAGAATAATCATTGCGTCAACAAGAAAAGCCTTATTTTGCCACAAACAAAAGCACGAATTGATCGAACCGAAAGGAAATCTTTCTTGGTCCGCGTGACCATAAGTGGCAGGAAGTACAACAAAAATCACACCCACACACATACAGATGACAGCTACTCGTATGGTAAGTCGGAAGAATACATATAATAAACAAGTTCAAAATTTCACTTAACATGACCCCCACATCACTTACTTATATTTCCATGAACAATCACATTCCACGATACGATGAAAATCACTGTACAGAAGCTCGCAAGAAGTATCCATACCCAAAAGGTTTAGCCAGGCCTCGAGCTGGCGGCGAAAAGTTGGGAGGTTCCTCTTGCAAGGCCTTCTGGATGTCGAGCTCCTTGGTGTACTGTTCCCTGAAGAGCTGCAGAACTTTGTGTTCCGGAAGCATGGAAAGCGTGGTTGAGTTTCGAGCCAGGAACAGAGTATATCGATTCTGATTGCGGTCTGACCAAGAATTGGGAGGAGCATTGAGGTTTGCCAAGTCTTCCTTCAACAACGCTGCATTGCTGACGTGTGATCTGTCGTCTGGAAGGTGTGGCAGGTTCCCGACTTGGGGTCTTGAAGTAATCGAATGCGGCGAATCCTTGCGATGTGGCAGACCTGTTGGCAAATTGGGTGGCCGAGTCGCACTAATTTTGCGTTTATCTTCCACCACACTAGAGGTGGCAGATGTATTGTGCAGGGAGGAATTGGATGCCGTTCTAGATGATCGGTTACTTCTATTGACAGTTTGATACGTGTGATCTGAATCGCGATCTGCTCTGTCCGTCCAATCAGGTGTGAAGGATACGCTAGAAACCGAGCTCAGGTCCTGTGATTGGTCAAGCGATCTCAGTGAGCCGGGACTGCCAAGCAGGGGTGAATCGGCAGGGACAGGGGCATTCGTACACAGGGCAGGTGGGAGAGGCGTGGACGAAATGCTTCTGGTGATGACTTTTTTAGGATAATGCGCGACTTCAAATGCTACGGTAGGGTCGTCGATGTCAGGACCGCTCTGCATCATAGACCGCGCACTTTCAAACACGACCGCATTTGAAGATTGCCGTGTAAGGCACGGAGACGCAACAGCAACTGGCCAAGAGCCGTCGCTGGTCTTGCGGACAAGAAAAGGGCTCCTCAAACTACTGGGACTGAGTGGAGTTATGGGGGTTAGAGGAGATAATTCCTCACTACTTGTCGTGTTCCTGCACCCCGACAGCCGTGGATGTCGTAAAGATACGTCACTATCACGGCTACTCTTTACGCTGGCATTGAGTTGTGGCGGACTCGATGTCTTGCGGGCCGGGTCCCCAGCCTGTTGCTGGACCCGACTGTTCACAGCGTCTTGAGAAACATGAAGCACGTCAGGCAGTGGGCCGGTAGAGCCTGCCTTGGCACTGGTAGCTTCGTTGTCGTCTTGGCGAGGCGGCGATGCGTGGCGCCGCGTAAAGAGTGGACTGCGCTCCATGTGCAGTGACATGGACGGCGTCGCGTCTATCTGTCGCTGCTGCACGCCGAGGTCGCGCAGCACCATGTCGAGCTTCTCCGTGGAGCTGTGGTGTGCTGCGCTTTTCTCCATCACAATGGCTTAAATATAACAATGCGCACTTCTATGCTTGGTTAAATCAATACACAAGCTTACCTATGCCAGTTGCATTTTAAATTATTTTCCTAGAGCTAGAAAGTAAGGTTGATATGGTCAAATTGACACAAATTACAGCCGATTAAGGCTCATAATATAGACCTAGAGCGGCTCTATGATGTTATTACCAGATATCCCACAGCCACTTAGTCGGTGCACATGTGTCCTACTTGAATGAAAGAATTGTTGTGACCCGAACAGTTGTCTTTTGGCTGAGAATTTGCGTTCTATATTTTGGTCTAGAGCAATGAATGAGGCTGTGGATACGGTGGTGAGTGATGAATGAGGCTGTGGATACGGCGGTGAGTAATGAATGAGGCTGTGGATATGGCGGTGAGTTATGAATGAGGCTGTGGATACGGTGGTGAGTGATGAATGAGGCTGTGGATACGGCGGTGAGTAATGAATGAGGCTGTGGATATGGCGGTGAGTGATGAATGAGGCTGTGGATACGGCGGTGAGTTATGAATGAGGCTGTGGATACGGCAGTGAGTGATGAATGAGGCTATGGATACGGTGGTGAGCGATGAGTGAAATGGATAATGAACTCTCAAAAGACATCTTTTTCTTCACCGCAAAATTAAACCTAAAAAGACAAAAATCGTCAAGGTTCTAAATAAGTTGAACAGCTTTTCACGATTCGAACAGGATTGCACGCGCTTCTGTGGAGGACCTATTAATATCACGTAGAAAATTACCAATTGCTTAGAGTAAAGGGTAATTTTGCAAGTTAGTGTCGGTTGCTAAGACACAGCAAGGGAGACCAAAGAACTGAAGGCTAATTAATTTTAACTGCTCCAGGACAAGAATATTATCACCCGAGGTTTGCAACACAGAACTGGCATGCTCGAAGAATTCGGCCCCTGTGAGCCTCGATAAACTCTCTGGGAAGGCAAGAGGTTGCTGATAAGCCATTATATCAATGCTATCTAATCAATTGAAAAGCTCCAGTACTGAACAACAACTAAAACATGGCAAGAGACTCCGGTGGCCTCTAGTGCACAGGAAAAATGCGATCATATTAATAGATTGAACGCGTGTCAGAAACTAACTTTAATGGAAGCACATGTAAATTAAACATTTTTCATTTCAGGCACACGGCACGTCTTCTTCAGGCACACGGCACGTCTTCTTCAGGCACACGGCACGTCTTCTTCAGGCACACGGCTCGTCTTCTTCAGGCACACGGCACGTCTTCTTCAGGCACACGGCACGTCTTCTTCAGGCACACGGCACGTCTTCTTCAGGCACACGGCGCGTCTTCTTCAGGCACACGGCGCGTCTTCTTCAGGTACACGGCACGTCTTCTCCAAGCACACGGTAACGTCATGTTCAAGCACACATCGTAAGCCTTATGCCGATATTTGAAGGATGTAAAAAATATCTTAACCACGCCAAATCATTAGCTATGTGCAGCCGTCCATACACACCAAATAACTGGTAGCTAAATGGTTACATTAATTGCAGTGTTATTTGAATAATATTTCAGCTGTGGATGAGATTCAATGTAGTAGGTACCCAGCTATTAAACATTAACACCAAGCACCGGAAACGGCTTCGTTTGAACAGGAATTGAAAGCTGATAATGCAGCAGACTAGCAGTAAATTTTATGGACTATGCTCTTGTAGCCGAGGGTTGACAGTGAAAATCTGAATGAAATGTCCCTTCATTGATAAAACTGCACAGGAAACTGATAACTGTTGAGATAAAAGATATCGCATGTACGGTTAGCAGCACTTCCCGCACCACGCCGCGTTCATTTCTGCTTATTATACAAAGCCTATGAAAATCAACTGCAAACTTCATCGAGTACAATACCTGAACCCAAGGTGGTATGTTATTGCTGCCAGCACCCTTCAACAATAAGCTAGAATACATTTCAAGAAAATAGCATTATTTAGTTATCCAACTTTACGCATAATGTGCAAGACTGGACTGAAATTTATTAAGGCTTTCTGGGAGAAGTACAAGATTCTTGTAAGAAATATAGCTCACATCTTTACCTCAGCTGGAATAAATAGCTCGTGAAAAATACTGGTGACAAGGAGACCAGTTAATGTGAAAAAATAGTACAGAACATAGGCTTCAGGGTGGGTTATATACCACAGAATTTTTACTGGCTAACATGAAGAGCTTTTTTTACCTTAGATAATTATTGTTCAAGTACTTCCCTGTAACTCTAAACACACCAGGCTAGTCTAGCAAGCTGCATGTTTTCAAGGTTAATTGGCCTCAACAGAAGTGACAGTTTCAGCTTTTCCAGGAAAAAGTAAATCAATGAAGAGCTTTTGTACAATGATACATGATACTTTTTTTAAGATTACATCTGATTTTCAATGAAGGACTTGCAGTGAAAGCTCCTGTCACCATTAAAGAATGGTGATAAGCGAGGTAAAAGGCCCCACTTACCAGCTACAGCACTCAATAGATAGGATGATAATGCAAAAGCTGTGGCAAACATTATTTAATGATACTTAATAATGATGTTAGTGCATGAGCAGATGTTACAAGACATGTTGTTTGTCATGGTCTCCAGGTCGCAGTACATATAAAAACATTGAACCTTAACATTGTTGCAATTTCTTCTAAAAACTTATTCTCTTACAATAAGAGAAATTATTATTGCGCTTCTCTATCTGTGAAACAAAAATTAACTTAATCTCGGGGAACAGCTAAAAGTGCAGCAACAGCTTACAACATCCATAAGATTTCATGTACAGGTTCATTTAAATTTTTTGGGGATGCACTATAGCAAAAATTCAGAACTTCTTTTAATGAACACACGCAAACTAGAGCACAAAGATATAACCTGACCTCACTATTGATGGCTACCTTTGCCTGATTCTTTGAGCTCCGACAGAAATTTAAGTGGCACTAAATCATATAAGAAAATATTATACAACTTAATGCCAACAAACTGAATACAGGACACATGGATTGACAAGGGTTTCATAACAAGAAAATGTACAGAGGACAAGAAACTGAACAGGCCAAGCCCTTGATGAGTGTTAAGATGTCATTTGATGGATCTGGTAGCATTATAATCCCATTCACAGCCATGGTTAAATAACAGCATTAGTTCAAATCATGTTATTGATGGAATTCTCAGCTTCTAATCTTTAGTATAATTAATCTATAATACCGGTACTCCTATTAAAGCATTAAATGTCATTTTACTAGGTCATTAATCCATAACAAAAATCACTGGCATTAATTGTCTGAAATTCCCTCTCTGTTGTCAGTATTATTAGTGACATAACAATGATTGGTGATTCTTGATGATTCTTAACCAGAACCAGGGACAGGCAACTCACCCAGGCATGGTGAACTCTTCAAATTATGGTTTACAAAGAAATTTTCTAGGATGTCCTCACACAAGTGACCTGAAATGTACATGTAGTCTCAATACTAATAAGTGATGCATTAAATTTATATATTTTTTGTAGAAACAAGTTGCTTGTGCAACTTCTGGCTAAATGGATAAGCAAAAATAACTGTCAAGATTAAAATGAGAGAGTATGGCTTTGCATCAACAAAATTGTGGTACTTTTCTCAAGTAATAAATATTTTAACATTATTGTACACTAAATTACAGTAGAAAAGATGGGTACCGTAAAATGGGGTAACTTTGACCGGCGGGGTAACTTTGACCACTTTTTGTTTTTTTAACAAAAACCCCCAAAACTCAAAAACGATTCGACATAGAAAAATTTTGTCAATGGCCATCAAAGGCCTAATACGGAGGCTACGTAACACAATAGAAAGATTTAAAAAGTTTGCATATCTAATAGGTTAAAAAATTAAAAATGTGACCCAATCACATTTTGCCCATTTGGGGGCGGTGCCCCCCATTTGCAAACTATGACACTTTCCTAAAATTTTTCTTTTGCATATGTAACTAGAAGAGTTCTACTACAATGCATGGAGTTATTTGGAGTTATTTTACCTAAAAATAAAATTGGTTTTACCACCCGGTCAAAGAAACCCCAAGAGCTGGGGTAACAAAGACCATCACTTTTTTTAAATCACATCAAAACTATGAGAGGCAGGAGCCAGCAATTTATGGTGAGTAAAGCTAGAGTTTAGACCTGTATTTTGTATGTTTTAATTTAAGTTTAACTTATCTAGTAAAAAAAATGGCATCATTTTGAAAAAAAAGTGGTCAAAGTTACCCCAGTTTACGGTACCATAAAATGGGGTAACTTAGACCACTTTTTTTATAAATGATGCCATTTTTTACTAGCTAAATTAAACTAGAATTGAAACATGCAAAATACAGGTCTATACTCTAGCTTCACTCACCATAAATTGCTGGCTCCTGCCTCTCATAGTCTAATGTAATTTTAAAAAAAGTGATGGTCTTTGTTACCCCAGCTCTTGGGGTATCTTAGACCGGGTGGTAAAATCAATTATATTTTTTGGTAAAATAACTCCAAATAACTCCAGGTTTTGGTGCATTGTAGCAGAACTCTTCTAGTTACATATGCAAATGACAAACTTGAGGAGAGTGTCATAGTTTGCAAATGGGGGGCACTGCCCCATAATGGGGGAAATGTGACTGCCCAATGGCAGCCCTGACAGGGTAATATTGACTGACTTGGAAAATAAGCTAAAATTACCATATATAAGACTCTGTAGAGTCTGAAACATAAAGAAAAAACATAAATAGGCTGTCAAACATAAAATATGTTATATATGGTAATTTTATATTAACTTTCAAGCCGGTCTATATTACCCCGTCAGGGCTGACATTAGGTGGTCTAAGTTCCCCCATTTGGGGGCAGCGCCCCCCATTTGCAAACTATGACACTTTCCTAAAATTTGTCATATGCATATGTAACTAGAAGAGTTCTACTACAATGCATCAAAACCTGGAGTTATTTAACCAAAAAATAAAAAAATTGGAGGGGGTACTCTGA